TTTAAATGCTCTTATACTCATACAATAAAGGTTAAGAAACAAGCTTTTAGTCTTCTTTACTCATTTCAGTGGCAAAAGTAATTTTAAAGCAACATCATATTTCTGTTCACATAGCTCTCTATTTGTTTTATACTAGTAACTTATGAAGTATCTGAACAATTTTTATGCCACTGCAGACAGCCCCTAACTAGTTCAACTTCTTAAGATTCTTGCGTCCAGGGATGTATGTGTCAGATTATATCAGGGGTATGTGTAACTATGTAATTAAAATAAATAATATACAAACAAATGCCACTTAATTTGTTGAAACCAGCTAGTTAATTTGACGAAGATGGAAAATTATATCAAAAGCTGGCCACTTTACTATCAAAGAAAGAGCTCCAGGGTCGGTTGGATATGATGCTCTAATGACCACAGTTGGTTTGTGTATGAAACCAAAGAGACAAGAACATTATTCCTTTTGGGAATTGGCCCCCAGTTGTGCATCCTGTAGCCTAGTCACTTGTGTGTATAAAAGAATATTTTTAACTGTACTTACAGTTAATCCAAACAAGGAACTAGCTATTTCCTGAGCATCTTTCTTCAAGAGGCAATCCTTAATGTGTTGTGAAGTATCTGTTGGACAATTTAGCAGAGCAGCTTGTCTGCTTGCAAGTGGGAAAGGATTAAATTCTGATATTTGCTTTGGAAATGAAGAGCCACTCATAGCTATGCCTTGATGGAACAGACCTAGATGAAGAGAAACACTTTCAATTATTCCTAATAGCAATACAGATTGACATATTCATTGCAATTCATTTTCCAGAAGATCTTTGACCATTGTTAAGGATTGTCTATCCTTTTGGCAATCAAAATCACCAACTTTGGTTGCCTGCAGTGTGAAGGCCCTCTCCACACAGTGAGATATCTTCCTACATGCATATTTCTGGCATTATGACATTTCTAGATTTGTACAGCTAAGAATACTGAAATATTTTTTTATTTTTATATAAATGTATGTCATTTCCTTTTAGAACCCAGGGGACAGTTAAGGCATCTTGAATATTTTGATAACATCCAGATATCTGGAAAATTATGAAAGTTAATTTCACATATCATTAAATTTAAATCTTCTCTTTACTCGGATCACTAGTAAGTCCGAATTATCTCTATCACTCCTTCCAGCTTCTCATTTTGAAACACCAGTGAACTAAGAATTAATTTTAATTGTTTCTGTTATCATAGTCTGTTGAATTTGTTGCAACTCCATATTTGCCAGATAGACTTAACAATTTAGCCCTTGTTTGAAAATATTGTTTTTATTTCAATTCTTAGTTTCCAATTTAATTATTTCAAGAGCTGTCTGTTCAATCATTTTCCCAAGAATTGTTAGATATTTCAGAAAACGTTCAGAATACTATGAATTATGTAGAACATCCCAATGTAAACCTAATTACAAGGAAATAAAGGTAAATTAGCATACAGGTAAAATTCCAGAATACAAACAATATACTTCATGTACTAAAAGGTATTAGAGGTATTGAATGAAATCTATATATATAATTATGAGCCTCTTGCACTAGTAAATTTATAATGGAGAAAATTCATTGTAAAACTTGGAATTTTTTGAAACAATGCCATGTTTAAAGTTCTGCTCTTTAAAATATAAAACGGCTTTTATTCTTCACATGCAGATAACCTTAAACATTAAAATAAATAGATATTAAAGCACACTTATTATAATAAAATTCCTTTAGACTGTAGCCAGTCTCTTTCCTTACCACATTATGGCAGCTGAATATTTCATAAAATAATAAAACAGTTATTCATAAAGTAATTGCAAATATGGATATATGATTATTAACAACCTTCTGACATGGGTGACACCATATGCAACATAACACTGATAGAGCCAGCACTGTAGCCTGCAATAGTGACGCTTTCAGGATTGCCACCGAATGCTGCAATATTCTGTTTCACCCAGAGTAGTGTTGCCACTTGGTCTTTCATTCCATAGTTACCAGGAAGTACGTCATCTCCAGTGCTTAAAAATCCTGTAAATAAAAACATCAACAAGATGTTTACTATCTGGACCTACCCTCCAGTAAATTCTTTCTTCTGACTATACTGATCTGCCAAAGTTGTGCATTAAAAATACACAACTTATTAACTATTTTTCACAAAGGTTTGCTAATATGGACTGCAATTATTTGAAAGATGTCTGACATACTTCAAGAGTGCATATCATAGCCATAATATGTGGTAACAATTGTATAAAGTGCAATGCACAGCCACGCTAGTTTATTCTTCCATTCTTAGTTTTTGTATGCAGTCTAATTTATTAATCTACACCCCTTGCTACAACATTGATATGCTCTTGAAAGGTGTAGTTAAAACACAACATTTTGTCAGACTGACACCTTAACATAATCTAGAATCATAAAGAAAGTGTAAAATTTTGTTGCAGTTTCCTAAATTCAAGACTTTCATAATTACATTACTACCATTTTCTAGTTAATAAATTTCATAAACCCCCCTATTCCCTTTTCGCTGTTGTTAAATATCTGTACAAAATTCCAGGTTTGTATTTTAGATACAAAATTCTGAAACACCGTATAAGTCACCACAAAAAAGAAACTCTGGGAAGAATTTATAATAACTATTGTCCTTCTGGTAATACCTACGAGAACCATAAATAAATAATTGTACGATTTATTGATCTATTTATGCATAATTGTCATTATTATAGAATTAAATTACATTAAATATCTTGATATAATCTCAAAATATCACACCATAACTATATTTGTAACTGTTAAAATATAGAAAATATGACACAAAATTTGTAGGTACATATATGATATACCTTCGTACAAATTTTCCAGTGGCTCATAAGATATCACCAACAAACTGAATGTTAAATACATTTTTATTTTAAATTATATGAAAATAATTACTATAAACATTTCTCATAAAAAATTTCATTATATTAAATGGTGCTAGTGTCACTCGAACCTTAAAATTTTCTAAGTCATTCTTGGTATTATTGATGGTAGAAAATTAAAAAGTATAGAGGTGGAGTGTCCTAACATGACTTTGATATCCACACAAAGTTATATGAACATTTATTAATTGGCTCAAAATTTACTAGAGGAAGACAGACACACAAGCAGAAGCACACAGGGAGATGATGACACAAAATCTCCCTCTTTTCTAGCATGGCAAGAAAGACAGGATTAACTTATGGATCAGTGGAATATAATGAAGATGTATATTATGTTTTCTATGAACAATAAATGGTGCCTATGAAGTGCAAGTGGCTAGTGATAGGGAAGGAAATGGTGGTTTCTGTTCTTTTACTTGGTATATTTTTAGTGTTTAAGTAAAAGAACTGAAGAAACTATATAAATACTTTATCAAGGCAAATGATTCAAACCTAAAAAAATGTGAATCCGTTTCCTCTTGTATATGAAGCAAGAGTGACACAAAAATTCTTGTAATTTACTGTGCTGACAACTATGGGCGAAACATGTAATTGTACTCACTGTTGTTTGTTTTCCTTGTAACACTGACTGATTTATCATCAATAATAATGATATTGATTAATTTTCATTTATATGTATGTTTATTTTAAATCAATAAAATCTGTGTTTCAACATCAAATGTTTATCATTAGCACATATTTTTTTAAAAAAATAAATGCATATTCTCAAGTGTGTATATTCTTATTTTAAGTGCCTGAAATGGCAGTTTTAGTGTTTAAACATCTGATATCTAGTCATGGCTTACATATGATTAAGATAACTGTTTCACAATACACAGCTATTATTAACCTTCCCCCAATGTTAAAAACGGGTCCGCAGTGGCCGCGCGGTATGAGGCGTGAGCCTTCTGCCGCTTGGTCGCTGGGACCATGGGTTCGAATCCCACTCAAGCCATGGATGTTTGTCCACGTTTTTCTGTGTTGTGCTGTCCTGTGTACAGGTAGAGGCTTTACGACGGGCCTATCCCTCGTCCAAGGAGTCCTACCAAATGTCTGTAGATCAAGCCAACGAAAAGTTGGGATCTGCAGTGCTCAGGCACTTGAAGAACGGGTCTTCCCCAGTATCCCAGTGATGTTAAAACTGACTGGCAGCCTCATAGCACAGATATGTAAATACCCTATTCTTATACAATAAAGATCAATGCCCACTATTTCTTGCGATATTGTGTATTATAGAGTAAAACTTTATGAGGAAAATTATGTCATACTTCTTGACTGAATCTTACCCACCAGTGGTAATTTTTCAAATTTCTGAAAGTAGATTTCACTTGGTTCATTAAGGAATAAAAAAATAAGAAGTATGCTTCATTGGTAAAGTTGTAGACTACTTAAAGCATCTATTTAAACTATGCTGGTAGATGTATGTAACTTCCAGTGCAGTCTTGAAGTTGTTAATGAGTCAATTATTTCTTCACTCACCTAAAGCTCCCAGTCTGTAATTAGTTATCACAAGAACAATATCGTGATCCATGATGTATTGTGGCCCAAACAACTTGCTATGTCCAGTTTGCCCATAAAATCCACCAGGGTGAAAGTACACCATAACTGCTCTGTTGGGATTATGATGTCCTGCAGGTAACTAAAAGAAATTAATCTGTTATGATGCACAGTTTGCCGATAATACAAATCAAATTAACCCATTCATTTTAAACTTACTTTTTTCTTTTCCTGAAATTAAATTTTCAATGATATTTAGGTGACTGGTATTCTCAAATATAAAATAATTAATTTTTAATGAAACACTTGTTCCATTTCATAGATTCCTCAGATTTATAATTTAGAGAATGAATTTGTCTTGCACCTATGGCAAATATTAGAAGTTCCTGTATAGATGCTTGAAAGTGATTACTATTGTCAGTTAAAATTTTCTCTTCAATATTGAATTTAGAATGACAAACACAACGTTAGAAATTTTTATATGCTATGTTTGAGACATCTTAAAACAAACATTATTACCTTTTACAATTTTGCTAACATAAGCAATGCCAGACTCAAAACTGGATAGACAATTGCTTTGGTTCCCCTAACCAAATATATTTATATTCCTTGTTTCAACATGAAAGAGTGCCATACAGCAGTACCTTTTAAACTGTTTATAATGTACAAAATGAGCTGGGATAACTCAGTATAGTGACTAGCTATGGGCTGGACGACTGGGATTTCATCCCCAACAGGGGCAGAAGATTTTTCCTCTAGCCTCTGTGTCCAGACTGGCTCGGTGACCCACCCAGCCTCCTATCCAATATGTATCAGTGTCCTTTCTCAAGAGTAAAGCACAGCTGGGATGTGATGCTGACCACTCACCCCTATCTAGTGCCGAGATCATGAATGAGTAGCACTACCTGCTCTCCCCCCAAGTGACCTATATGGCATGTAGCGATTCTGCTTTATTTTACTCTATGATATAGTAAAACGAATACAGTAAATATGAAACTTTAATATATACTTTGAAGATATTTATCACAATCACAGGCAGCCTCAGCTTGCCAGGTTCCAAATCAGATAAATAAGGCACAAGCCACCAATCATCATAGAAGAAGTTGTTTCTTTACCAATTTATTTGGATTGAACATTAGCTCATTCCCTTTCTTTTTAAGAAAATAAATTTCATCTATGTACGATTTGGAAGCAGCTGGTGAGTTCCCAGAGTTAAGACTTGAGATGAGACATGGATTTCCACCCACATTTAAGACTACCACAATTCATAACACACACGTGCATGTGACAGTTACATTACATTCATTCTCATCTATGAAGAAACAGAAATGTTTCTAATAAGAAATACATACCTTTGTTGTGAATACATTCAGAAATAAACAGTCTTCAGATGTTGGAACAAAATAGGTGCTTTCTGGCTGAGGACATGAAGCGCCATCTTCAGTTGCATTACGAATTCCCTGCCAAGACTCTAATGGTACTGGAGGCTAGCAAAATAAAGAAAATAAAATAAACTTGTAATGTTCCAAGCTAGAGAAACTTGAGAGAACACATCATTCACAGACTGACTGATAAAATTCAATCTCATTTACTCACTATGCAAATTGGTTAATTTAATTACCTTTATATACCAGCACTTGTGGTAGAATTTTACACTTTACATTATGTCTTACTGCAGACATACTGTTTCTCATATTAAAAATTCTGTTTTGCCACACTGAGAGTGTAACAGGCAAAAGATAAATTGGGACTGCTTCAAGTTCATATTCCATCTCAAATTATGCATCATGATTATGACATCATGGAATCAATGAAATTATATTATATATTATAATATAATGGTAGGACAATGGAAGAGTACATCATCGAGTTATGGATTCCAAGAAAGCCTACAATTTTGTTAAGAAGTATTATAGAACACTGTAATAATATTAATAATGAATATTATCCATCCATACAGCTCACTTTAACCTGGTGTCTTATCACTACATTTTTCACTTGCTGTAAACCATTTTTGGGTGGTATATAAGGGCAATTACTGAACTGTGTGACATCTATATAGTTTAAATGTATAAAACAAATACTTATATATTAACATTAATCTATAGTTAAAAAGTTAGCATTTTCATCTTTAAATAACTATTATGTTCCTACGATAAAATACATTTAATTATGAGAATATCAATTGATGGGAAGGAAATCCAGAACACTTACGTTACCTGTGGACTTGACTGTTGTAATGAAATTCCTCTAGAAAAATTATAGACTAGTATTTTATTAAAATAGTTCACAATCTCTTCCTGCCGTATACTTACAAATACAATATTCATAATCACGTTGTTGTTTCTCATTTGAAGTTGAATAACAAAAAAACAGAGGGCATACAAAATTGCATGTTCAATGCATTCACTGATAAAGTTGAAAGTTAAAAGCCAAAAGAGTAAGATGGTTGGGACACCTCTTCAGGGCTAACGAAAACCATCCCTGTAGAATGTTAACTTTTGCTACATTGCATGGCATTAGAAGAGTAGGAGGACCTCCAAAAAGATGGCTAGAGAGTGTGGAATATGACCTTAGAAGCAGTGGAGTAGGCCTTTGGAAAGGAATGGCCGAGGATAGTGAGAAGTGGAGGAGCATCATTGGGGCGGTCAGAAGAAGAAGAAGAATAGCAGTTTCTGCCGGGAGCTGGGTGACAACAGCTGCGTTCAACTTTGTCAGAGAACGCACTGCACATGACACGTTTCAGTTTGCTGTCGATCTTACCTGAAATCTTCGATTTCCAACCGGTGGCTCAGCGAAACGAACACCTCGGAAGGAATAAATGGATCTCCCAAGGCGCGACTTTATAACACTTCCTCTCAGAGCCCCTTGGACAGTCGTTACGACAGGCGACGTGTCAACCCGCCGCGAAGCATTAGTTTTCAGTGCCAAAACTCCCAGGAGACAGAATACCGCCTTCAGATACATGTCGCTGTCTGAGCATACGTAGGGTTTCTTTCTTATATATATACGCAGATCGAGAGTGGGCAGCCCAGACAGCGAGACAGGTTTACTCACCCGCCCGCCACTACTACACATTCCAAAAACTTCTGTGTGAAAACGCTGGTATGGCAAGTCGAGCGTCTGTGCTGTACAACTGAAGCGAAAGCTGATGTTACACGGAAACGGTAGTAGAGAGGTCAAGACCACTTGTTTCCCCACCACATTTGCACGCAAAAGGGAGCTATGCACGATGTTCTGTTGTTAGTGACCGTTGTGAAAAACTCACAAAGCTGTCCCTGCACTTGCCATTAAGACGACTGTGGTACAGTAGCATGCATACTTCAATTCGTCGCTAGTTTGAGATAAGTGGTCAGGTGGCCGCATGGTCCCCAGGGCCGGTTGGGACGCTGTGGGAAACAAAAAAAATCCCTGCGTCTGTCGGGAATCAAATGTCGCTCATCCAGCCCGTAGCCTCAGTATCGTTTGCATTGTTGATGCTCTCTGAATGCTGCGAAAGTCAGGTGGAAGAGGGCATTATCACATTTTAAAATTAGCATCAAAAGCGTACATTTTTTTATACGTGACGAGTCTGTAGTATACGCAGGCAATGCGCTTGTATGGCTCTGTTAGTTGCTGGCCGTTCTCTCAAAACCATTTAACTGGTTTTGAGAAAACGGCCAGCAACTAACAGAGTAAATTAAATCTACTATAAAAATTTGTGATTCCTCGTTGTCTTCAAGAAATGACGTCATCAATAATATCAACAGATATTTGTTTACTCGGCATTGTTGTGTTCCACAATAATGCCGAGTAAATAAATAACGCTTCACAACAGTGAGATCACAAACTACCAAGCCAGACGCATTATCACTGCTCCAGAAGCAGCACATCGCCTCTGAACAGCGACATAAAACTATTTAAGAAATTAAGAAAAGTGAAAGAAGATGTTACCAACACCAACAAGGTTATCTGATACTAATAATAATATTCATTCAAGTCATACTGCCCATTCAAAGGTTAAAACACTTGAATAAGACACTAAACTAACCCCCCGAAGGGGGCTAGTTTAGTGTCTTCCTTAAGATTTTAAGACGCAACCAACCCCCACTCATGTGTGCCTGAAAAAACAAAGGGATTGCGCAAAACTAATTTTTGCAGTATCGAAAAAAAATTCTTCTGAACTCCCAGGACATTTGTTTTTGTGCCTAGGAGGAAACCGTGTAAATAAGGATTAAAATATATACAACTTTTATTTTTAAATATGCATAATTAACGACACTCTAAGACAATTATTTGTATTGCTTGATAGTGCTTATGTGTGACATAAAAGTATTAATTTCTCACAAATTTTTCTAGTGTAGTTACACATTTAAACAGTAATTTATTGTGATGGTTTGAGTGTGCTTTGTACAAAAGATAGTAGAAGTTAATTAGGTTCATTCCAGATTGAAATATGAATATTACGACGTTTTAGACGTTTCTTTATACACAACTACGTTTTAAGTACAGAATAACATTACATAGATGTGGCATTGCGTAAAGAGTTTGCATTAAAGCATACATTATAATGTCGTTACGTTCTGAACTTATATTGAAGATTACTAATGCAGTAAAATAAATGTGACTTTTCGATTATTCAAGTTAAATATATTAGGTACAGACAAGAGATTTCTAACAGAGGTTTCCTGAGACTCGCGGTCAGCAACTGTAATTTAGTAAATTTAGGAAAAAAGTTTCTTCCCGTATTTAGCAGTATTTTTAGTCAAATTGAGGACAGTCAAGGGACGAGGAACATAGCGCATATACGAAACTGTAAGAATATGAAAAGGCGTAAATCGACGAAGCGTGGTTGGGTCATGCCAATTTCTGGAAGAACCAGCACCAGTTCATGTAAACCGGTTTTCACATCGTTCTGCAGAAGTGCAAGCAGAATTAAATTATAAAATACTGTTGTCCCCCTTGAGGGTGTCATTAACGTTCCATTGTAAGGTATTTAGTTTTCAGCATTCGTACACAAGTTCTTTTAAAAAACACTTTCTCAAGCGGGGAATCCCGGTTGCAGTTTTTATCATAAAAAGTGATAGGGAAACCACGGTTCCGGAGAATTTTTACGTAAATACGTCTATAAGGAAAGGAAGTTTATATATTGGCATTATTTTAAATATTTCCTTCTTACATGCTTTACATTTGAGATAAGTTTGATTAAGACATTGCTTATTCAACTTGAATTAGTTACGCTTAAGATGGGTCTGTGGTAGCTGATAGTAATGTAATGTAAGGTAAGGTAAGGTAAGGTAATGTAAGGTAAGGTAAGGTAATGTAATGTAATGTAAAGTAATGTAATGAAATGTAATGTAATGTAAGGTAAGGTAAGGTAAGGTAATGTAAGGTAAGGTAAGGTAATGTAATGTAAGGTAAAGTAATGTAATGTAATGTAAGGTAATGAAATTAAATGTTTTATAGGTAACAACAATGCCGAGTAAACAGATGACGTTTTCTAGGTAACAACAATGCCGAGTAAACACGACGTTTCCTAGGTAATCAGGTTACACTTTTTCGTTTCCCTTTTTCGTTCCACTTTCTTGCCGAATGACCTTTCCTTATAGACGTATTTACGTCAAAAAACTCCGTGGTGTGAGTACTGGTCAACCATGGCCTTCATTACTTAGAGGAAAACAGGAAATAAGGTCTTGGGGTTTCTAACAATTCCGATAAGCGACGAGGAAAGAAAGGAAATTAATTACAGCTCCTACTTTCCAAGAAAGACCGATGTGTGTGTAAAGGAATGGCACGAATCTCTGTGAAGCAACCAACACCTGTCGTAACTCGTATACTTTAACACGGTTCGTTGCTGTCGGTATCGGACAGTCTAAAAGTACACGTGTTCTTGTATCTTTCGCAGTAGGTGTGCACTGTCGGACGGTTCGCTAGAATTCGACCAGACAAATCGATATTTAAAAAAAAAAACAGCGGAATCTTCCAGACAAGCGCAGATATGTCGGTGTTTGTTTTCAGTCTAGTTATTTGATCCTTCTTATGCTTTGTAAACAACCTTAATAAATACGAATTATTTCGAAAGAAGGAAAATAACCGCAGCTGTTGCATACAGAAAAAAACAATTCACTTCCGTCCTTAAGAGTGACTAGGATTTAACCGGCGTCATTGCACAATAACGGCTGAAACCATTGAAGCAATGAACAATGTTTTCTCTTGCTGTATCTGTTACATCCTACATGTTACTTGTCTCCTCGCCCATTTATTGTGAGCCACACTCATTGTTGTCGGTTTCGGACAAAAATAACAAGCTAAATGAAACAAGTTGTTTAACATTTTTAGCCTCGTGTCACCAAACAACTTAGTTCTCTATAAATATATATTCATATGCATGCACGCAGTTTCAACATATATTTGCTATGAAGTGCTGTGTAATTGTTCCACTGTTTCTTTATTTCCCTAAACGAGTACTTATTTTTGACGTAAATACACATTTTCCTGTCACTTTTTCGTTACACTTTTTTGCCGAATGACCCTTCCGTATAGACGTATTTACGTCAAAAACTATTACGAAAAAGTGACAGAAAAATGTGTAAGATCCGTATCAACAAATCTACAACAATGTGTAAATATGGACCGACAACAATGGTCAGCTTGCGTGCATTGTTATGTTACCTAGGAAACGTCATCTGTTTACTCGGCATTGTTGTGTTACATTACTGCCGTCAACAATCCGTTTTCGTAACAAGATGGATGACATTGAAGATAACATTACATTACTTTACTTTACATTACATTATATTACAGATACGTAAATATAATTTAAATACAGAGACGTATTTACATCAAATTCTCCGGAACCGCGGTTCCACTGTAACTTTTTCCTTTCAGTAATTTACAAAAAGAACAATTCCTCGCTCAAAAGACACCACGGAATGTATTTCATTATGCGTTATCTGTTTCATGAATTTTGAAGAACATTTTGTCATACGCAATCCAGAGATGACCAGTCACAATTCCCCTTCTATCTGTAGTTAATCTCTGATTTGATAGCAAAGATAATTGTTATAGTTATTCAATTTTGCCACTTTCCCATTATTATTTCATCTAGAAAGAAACAAGAACTTGTATATTAAGACGTCTTAATCTAGAAAGGTTGAAAAGATATCTTGTGTATGCAGAAAAAGCATATCATAATATACCAATAGAGATATAATACATGTTTTGTGACCAACCTAGTCAATGAAAACCATCACGGAGTCCACCTGGAGAAATGGTTGGTGGAAGGAGATCTGATCTGTTTTCGCTCATAATTTCATTATTACAAATTATATGATGTGGTAATAGAACGCAATTGACAACCCTTGCAAATAAGTTGACAGTTTATGCGGGATAATGAGTTGTCCGTAACCTTGGTTAATAGAAATTTAAGGGTATTGTTGTATAATAATTACATTGTGTGTAAAGTACAAATTTAATTTACTTTGCACGAACACAGATTTAGTATCAGTAGGTTATTTTTTATGAATGTGAAATAGACTCTACTTTGGGAACCTGTGGAAGCAAGGCCAAATGACATGGCAAACCCAGTTTGGTAGACGCGGTGTGTCTGTAATATGTAAAATGTTAATCTCTTGTTTGTGAACAGCGATGTAGTCCGTCTCCTTTTCTTCAGCATCGCTTCAATTGCTACTGAGGGTACATAAGCTTGAATTACCATTATACTGCTTATTCTTATCATGCTGTAATAAGGTTATGTTTGTGAACATCAGACGTGAGTATTTGTATTTACAAAAGTAAGGAGTGTCTTGTGGCAGAATTGTCTGTACTAGAATGTTAACCACGTTATTAGGGTTGTTTAAATTAGAAAATCTGTTACAAATAGAATCTGTTAAAATGTAGGTATTCATGTGTGGTTGTTTTTTTATTTTTCAGATGGTTGAAGTACATTGACAGATTTCCCATTCTGGTGGATATATGGCGAGGATGATGCGGGAAAAACTGTTATACGAAGTGCGTCCAACCCATATTCATCACTATTACCATCCTCTGCCTTTTGGCAGTGGTGGTGGCAATATGTACCACCGCAAGTGTTGTTTTATCTGTAGCATTGCCTTGCTGCCCATCTTGTTTGTGTTATATGGACATGTATACCATGAAGCTCAGAACAGTGAGAATGAAACACACACAGGTAATTAATCTTTAGTTCTTCTGTAGCAGATGATCAAATAATAAGGTAGGTGTACATGGTTGGTACACTGAACAGTTGCGGGAAATTAATGCTGAGTTGCTGGACAGACAACATTAGTGATGTTTGTAGTAACAGTAATTTATTTTTGATATATCTTTATAATGTTATCAGTCACATATATATTTTACTGATATAAAGTTTTGTTGGAGTCACAGTAGTTAAGTCTTAATTTTTCTACTAGCAGTGATCATGTTTTCATTATTTATTTTTTACACTTTATTAAATATGCACATTCCTGAGCATCTGTGTAAAATAGTTCTCTTCAGTTATACTGAGGAAGGGCTGTTTGTTTTTGTGTGATGTGATGTGCTTTCAACTGATAGTTATGCTGACCTGTGTACATGCACTTCTTTGTCTGTTGTCTCTGTGGCTAGGTTTGTTTGAACTTGTTCTTTAAGAGACTGGCATCTTGTAAGAAATATGTTGTTCTGATAATGTTATTATTGATTAAGAATAAATATAATTTGTATGAAGTTATGTAGTTGATGTCAGGTTGGAAGGTATGTTGCTTTGTCATCACTAGTCTGCTGCGAGCAATTTCAGGCATTGTGTTCAGTTGTTGAAGTTCCTTACATGATATAATGTGCACCTCTCACCACATAATGTTCATCTGCAAGCTGGACCAGGCTTCATGCAGATTCTTCTGTGAAAACTGTGGACAGCAAATCTTACATAGGTTTTGTTAGAGTTAGAAATTAATCCTTTTCAGTTGTCTGTTAATATGTCATCTGTGTGGCAGATATTTTCCTGGATAGTGATTGCCCTTTTGTACCCCTTTTGTAGTACTCTCTAGTATGGGATATGTTTAGATTACATTTTTCCTTTAAATCTTCAGTGAGAAAGGTGGTTCCAGCTAGAGTATATGCTGGTCTGGTCATCACATACTTTGAGATGCACAGTTCTGTTTTTAGAAGCCTGTCTTTTGTGCTCTCTATCTTTGGGTCGTTTTCCGTGAAATCTTGCCAGATGAAGTATGTACCCTAGGTTACTGCAGGAGATATTATATTTGTATTTTGACATGGATAGTGGTCTATTAAGATTCTCTTGCTTTTATCTTTCACTTTTACCTTATGACGTGTTCAGCAATTGAATTTCTGTTCCATAGATTGTTGGTACATCTGTTTACTGTTACATGTCTGGATCTTCCTCACTCCACATTTTTGCTTTATTTGATTATTTACTTAGTGAATTTCCCAGTAGAGATTTAATTTTTTGAATATAATTTGGCTTGTTCTGATGAGTGAAATGTGGTTACATCAGTGGATTACAGTGAATATTACCGCATATTCAGAAGTTAAGGAACTGATTTAAAGTACTTCCTTCAGCTCATATTTTACCATCAAAATTAATGTTAAGTCTCTTGCTTGCAAGAAACTGACAAGCATTTTGCTTCGCATGTCTTTGGATTGGAGATTTAAATGAATAATTTACATAGCAACACTTCAGCACAAGAGAGAGGAATAAAATAGGAAAAGAGACTGCATTGGCAGCGGAAACATGTCTGAGGGACTGTCCTTGAAATAATGATTCTCAGTAAAAGTATAGTAGTGTCTGATAGACCTAGTGGGCATGTGCAGACTATCAGTATTCAAAAGAGATGCACAACTTATTTTGCCTGTAAGACAATTTTAAGAAATAGGCCATCAAGATACATGCTGAAATGGAGCATAAGGAAATTTAGTTAACTAAATGCCTTTTTATTTATAGTTGGGTACACCATTAATATATCTTGTGTCACATGAAAGTGCAAATTTACTTTGAATTCTTTCCAGTTTAGAGGAATCAATCGTGATTTAGTTCCAGGCAACAGATGCAATCTTAATCTTGGAATAATAAGAGAACAATTTTTAAAAAAGAAATTGAAAGTAAATGTCAGCTGGCCCACACATATCATATTACTAGCATTTATTCACATTTTACTTTGCTAAATGCATTTCAATTCCATTGGTTCATCATCAGTGGCTCTGTGTTTGGTTTGAACTTAAATAATAAGATGTATAGTCATGACATTGAAAAATGTCACAAATGGGCCAGATTATACACTAAAATTAATTTAATTTTCAGTACGTATAAGCTAAAATACCAAGTAGGTTTTTTATAGTGTACCTACATCACCAATCATGCCACCTTGGACTATTCTTGCACTTTTTGTTCACTACACATGTGTTCTTTATTATTTGTTATTTCACTTATTGTTGATCAGAGTGTTTGAATGGTGATTGTACTTCCAAAAAATTGTTATGTGAGTTTAACTTGCAGGCATGAATATTGGTATGGTACTGATCATACACTTTCGGTGATAAATGGAGATTTTAAGACCTGAATATATTGATTGAGGTTGTTAGAAGCAGAAGAGCTGAGTGGTCATCTTTTCATTTTATTTATCTTGTGACCTTCATGGTAAAGCAGTGCTTACTGTGTTCATCACATACACAGAGCCAATGTCTTTTTGTGTCAATGTTGACAGGTGCTCCAACATACAATATGTCTCACTTGAAGCTCAGGGATGAAAAGAAGGATGTGACCATTTCTTCACAAGTTGAGCTCCATCGTCACACTACAGCTAAGCATAAAGGTTTGCTCTTGACTTTCCGCCAGACAAAGAATATATCTCTTCTATTAAAGCCTTACAAAACAATCACAACATATGCTTGTGCCATGTGTGATGTACTACCATCTATCTTTCTCTCTCTCTCTCTCTCTCTCTCTCTCAAGCACATTCCTTAGTATATGTTGTCACAACACTGAGTTGTTGTACATAAATCACTCTTCAAAAACATTGTACAATATTGTTTTAATATTGTTGTCTTCTTGCTTTCCATCATCATCTGAAGTATATATTTGTTTGAAACCATCTTTAAATTAAATTCTTGAGTAATGTGATATTCTGCTCTTTTCAGTCTTGCAAGCACATCCCAGAGTTTACACACACCATTTTTTCAGTTATTATTTCTGTTGATGAAATAATATATCTGTCAGTGTATTTGTTTCCTTCGTTATTGAGAATGAATTTTATTTATTATTTGGTTTCTCATATCAAGAGATATGTGTAGTAGAAACCTCAGGAAAGAAGGGTCTCATTGCTTGAAACATAGTCACAAAAGAAAATTATGCTGATGCATTGCTTGTTACAATACAGAAGGGACTAATGGTTACATGAGATTTAAATTTCTCATGGTGGCAAATATATCAGTGTTAGTCTACTGGGTAGTAACACTATGTGGACTTGTAGGTAGATACCAATATTTTGGAAGAACATACTACCTTCTTATCTTCAGCCCTGAAGATGAAGACATGTTTCTCTGAAGCATTGGTATCTGCCTTCAAGTCTGCATGGTGTTAACAGCCCAGAAGAAGACCATCATTGACAGTGATAGTTATTTTGTAATGAAAACTATAATTTAAAATTGTAACATGTTTCTAACCTGTAACCTCTTTTTGTATGAATTTTATGATATATAAATCATTATTTTTATATTAGTGGTGCCCATAAAATGGAGTATTTGAAAATTGAGTGGTGAAAAGCTGTTAAGTACTAAGCAGAAGGGCTTTTGGTAGTGTATTTTGTTATTCTTTAAAAAACATCCACTTATTTTTTAACTCTGTTATAAACAAATTCCACAAATACAGTCAGTATGTACCTTTCATCACTTCCGTAGATTTTTTTAATTTTCATAATATTGTGTTATTTGAAAGTACTTGTGTATAAGTCTTATCAACTTGGAGGCTCAGGTTTCCAACCCAGAAATGAACAGTATCATTCCTTATCGTATGTCTATATGATGCATCATTCATGAGAGCTCCGTTTTCAGAATTTGCTTCTGGTCACTACAACTGACAACTTTACTGTTATTTTGATTTTTATAAATGCTTATATTATTATTTAAATTAATACATTAGTTTTTAGTTATGAAGTTTCCTCCAGTAAGAAAGTGTATATATGAAGCTTTCTGTCTTCTGGGTTGTTGCGCTGTGTATGGTGGATGGTTACCAACGTTTCAGAGGTCATACTGCCTCCGTCATCAGGGCGATGAATATGCCAATAGGGTGGGTGGGGCTAGGTTTATATCTGAAACGTAACCATCGACCAAACTACACAGCACAACAACCCAGAAGACAGAAAGCTTCATACTCACCGCTATGAAAACCTCAAATCTTACTAGGGTATGTATGTCAGAGAAATGTATTAATCATCATTGGAAGCTTGTATCAGGAATGTGGTTGCTTTGAGTCATGTCATGTCTTGTCTATCATGTTAGTGGATTTTATGGCAAATGATAGACAGTGCTTTGAAACAGATGATGACAGTTACTCAGTCAGGAAATTCCTTAGGTTTTATGGAACTTAAAGATTCATTACGTTGTTCACAGGCATTTGCCACCATTTCCTATCTTGAACCACATGAATCCAGTCAATGCTCCAACACCCTAATTCTTTAAGATCCATTGTAATATTATCCTATACTCTGTACATGTGTCTTTCAAGTGATTTCTTTTCTTCAGGATTTCAGATCAAAACCTTGCATACTTCAGATTGTTCTGCACATCTTATCCCTCTTGATTTGATCATCATCACATTATCTGGCGAAAACTACAAACTATGATGCTCTTTATTCTGCGTTGTGCTCCAGTCACTTCATATCTCTCACATCCATATATCCTCAGTACATTGTTCTATGTCTATTTCAGTTCTGAGATTACTCTAGATTCTAATGAACTTTGGTATTGGGAATCTGCATTAAAAATTGATTTTAACTTCACATGAACCCCAAATGTAACTTATAAAATTTCTCAAAAAGGCGCAGTGTACGAAAGGTAAGTACGTGATGTAAGTAGATGTGTGTGTATGTTATTAGGATCTTAAACTATTGGTTGTAATATTTTTTTGATATGATTGATATTTAATGTGGCACAAGAAAATGCAGTTTCAATCTCTGTTATGAAATTAGCTTTGCAATACAAGATAAACGCATGCAGTATAGAACATCAAGCCCAGTGAGGTATACTAAACACCAGTGAATATATTTTGAAAATTTGTGCATTTCCACTTTTGAGCTCAATCTTTGGTTTTTATCTTACTTATCTTAACCTTGTAGAGGGTATAGGGTTTATGTAATCAAGAAGATAGTAATAAGTGCAGTATTGCTTTCTGTGTTGTGTCTTGGTTTGGAGAGCGCCACAGTAGTAGAAACTGAAACGGTGCAGTGTTGGTACAGTGCATTTAGAAGCTTCCATGGTAAAAATGTCAACTTCAGTTTCATCTTCTATCTCAGCACCACAAAAATAAATTAAAGCTTCAAATCTCTATCTGTATCCTGCCAGAACAAGGAAGCTTAAAATCCGTGGGTTTTTTTTTTTAAAATCAGTCTCTCTACACAAAAAACATGTAATCATGTTACGTAAGATTGTGGTAATACAAAGTATTTGCCAGAAGTATAATAAAAAAACTTATTTATTGTTTGTGAAATTATGGTAGGAGTGAGTGTGCATTAATTGTGAATAAAATAAAAGAAAGGTGACAAAACAGCACAAATATCAGTGATTGTTTAAAGAACAAAATTATATACTTGTCAGGATTATAGCGTGTAGCAATATGAAACCTGATTAAAATAGGTGTGGTCTTCTTGGTGTGTTTCTGGTAGGAGTGATGCTGTGGTAACACTGCATTAAACTACTCATTGATCAGGAAAATTATTGGATGTTCTGAAGAAAATATGTCTGGTAAACAGTTTTTATTAATAGATGTATCATGTGAAGTGTGTGAACATTGTGATATGTTGGCATTTAAAACTGAAAAAGGATTAACTGGTCATAACAGCTGTTCATTTCCCTAACTTTTTCATCCCTAAAATGAGGGAAGAAGAGTGGAAAGTAAAAGGAAGGGGAGGATTGGATCCCTCCCCAATGGGATTGGAGAGCATGTTGAGCATTATTATTTTTTGGGGGGAGGGGGGTTGTATAGTGAGCTTTGCTGCTCAAATTATTTATTATTTTTAAAATAGTTCATTGATTCATCATAAAAACTGCATGTTACCTTACCAAAACTGACAAGATATCTGCCTAACAGTCATGTGAATAAATGCATGGCTCTTCAAAGTAGAGTACAGTTATAACACCTATTTAGTTTCTTTCATAGCCACTTGCCTTACAGTTTCTTTTCTGAATGTGGTACCAAAAAGAAAGTATATTATTTTTGTTAAATTAGATAATGTAGGTGAGTAATTTTTTCAAAACAGTTTATAATGCGAGAAGGACTGCATATAAATAGCTTTATCATCATCTCAAGTCGTCTCAGACTCTAATTGAATTCTTTGTGCTGTGTGGTAGACTATGTATTTCATTTCCACCCATTGTAGAGCTTGCGTGTCTGAATTTGAGCCTGCATTTTCTGCTTTTGGTTGCAGAAGTATCATTCCTGACTCATCAACAGAAATGCCTTCTATTTTACCATCATAACTTATACAGTCACTCCCATATTCCATATTCACAAAATAGTATGTGTTACATATGTGATCATAATTACTTGCAAAGAACCATAAAATAAAGGCATATTATACAAATAAAGTCAAAGAATTACAAAAGAAATCTGCCAGCAGCAGTATCTGCTAGTGAACTACTGATCACTGTTCCATCTGGTTAGAAGCAGATCAAATTACTGCTTGGAACAAAAGTACTTGGGGTAATAATATATAGCCACATAATTCTGATATGAACTAACAAAGGATATTATACTGATGGCAGCATTTTAAACTCGACTTAATCCAGGATAAGAAGGGAAGTGAATTTTCTAATAGAGCTGTGACATTGCTTTGTGTTGTGATTTGCAATAAACATTCTTAGAATTTTAGTATCAGGATGTGAAGATGGTATGCATTTTAGAGAGATTTTGTATGCTTTAATTTATAATTATTTTAGGATTTTCAGAATACTATGTTCCTTACAACATCAGATGAGAGTGTTTTATGCAGTTTACAGAAAAACTGGACAGAATTTTTCACTCTCTGAATTACAGTAGCCATTTCTGGATGGTCATATAACACAAGTCGAGATCTTCGACGATACGTCCTACCAGACAATGTCACAGCAATCATCCCGCAATTGGACCTGTGTAGCAGTCCAGACCTGTTTCTTTTGGTGGTTGTATGTTCAGCTGTGGCCAATTTCAAGGCAAGAGCAGCCATAAGAGAAACATGGGCTTCTGCCCCTTCCATTACAAATTCAAGCAGCTCCTTCAAAGTGGCCTTCCTTTTGGGTGATCCAGAAAATTCCACATTACAGGTTCGTCACATTGTACCTTAACAAGTAATTATGTTTGTAAGTCTGAATTGTTATTTTTGCTGATATTCCAGAAACATTCTTAATGAAGTTAGAGACAGTGAATTTTAAGAAGGGCTGCCAATGAAAGAAATATTGATCACATTTCATACAATATTATGGCCTTTCAATAAGTTGTTCACATTTTAACATTCTTGATTTAAAAGTGCTGCACCACTTTTAAAACTACTGCTTTTTAACAAAATGTTAATTATTGCTCTTATAACTTGTGCTTTGAGTTTATATTTGCACTGTTTCACCAAATTGTCAAAGTTATTATTTTTCTTAAAAATGGCTTATTTTTCATTCAACAGATTGGTATATGACATAAGATAGAGATTTCATTAAGGTGTGCAGTTTTTATACATTTTTTGTTTAATAAATGTACAACAAATTAGGCAGTAAAATAACTTTATAATCTGTGTATCTGTAATGCTAATTGTTTGCAGCAGTAGGTTTGTATCTGCATTAAATGAACATCAAGGCCATTGAGGTATGAAAAGCCACAAAGAAATGTGTTTAGAGAGTACGTGTTATGTGTAGAGCAGTGGTCTCCAAAGTGGGGTGCACGAGATAGTTTCAATTTAATTTTGTTTTGTATTCTTGTATTGAATTATGTTTGTGATTTTACAAAATTATATGTGATTTTATGATGTGATGCTAGATATAAATGCATACCATGTAATTTATTTATAAATAAACAATAAATATAATAAAAATTACACTTAAATATTCATTTATTTATTCAGGGGGTGCGTGCTACGTTTTTTTTAGTAAGTAGGGGTTTGGAGACTACTGTTCTAGTGTACAGATTTTCAATCTTGTGTACATCAGTTCCACAGCTAGTTTGTCTTTGTATAAAATGCCAAAATGTTCATTCATTACCTTTTATTGGAAGGCATTGCATTTTTGTAGATTTAGTGTTATCATCAGTGTCAAGTTCAGAGTTTTAGCTCGTGTCAGGTCTTGAACTTTGCATGACAAATGCTCATAAACAACTTTGTATCATAACTGTTAAATGATTTTCATGTTTCTTGCCACAATTCACTGGAACTTTCACATTCATGTTAGTTATTTCCTGTATAACACCAGAGGTATGACACTCTTGTCCTGTTGCTATGTGAACACAGAAATAATGAAGATGGCTGTTTTCTGGGTTGTTGCACCATGTAGTCTGGTAGGAGTTTTCTGGTATTTCAGAGGTGCTTGCTTCCTCCATCATCAAGGTGTTGATCATCAGTACTGTTCTACCAGACTACATGGTACGTCCCAGAAGATAGACATTTTCGTCCTCACCACCATGAAAACCTCAGATATCACAGAAACATTGGCTTTATTATTTCCTATGCAACAGTGATAATAGCATGACCCTTTGGTGTTTGTTTTGTTGATAGACTTTAACCTAAATAATACAGTGTTACAGTTAGTAAACATAGGGATAAAGACATGTGTGGGGGTTCACATACATGGGTGGGTGGTTGAATCCTTTATTTGCTGGTCCACTCTAGATATGCAATTTTGAATATTCAGTTGAACTTTACAAAATTGGGATGTGCATTGTGTTTGAGAAGGCACATCAAGTTGAGGCAAATACAGTAAATTTGTTTTATGATGGGTGGACATATAGTCCAGATGGGGACAGAAGAAATGTATATAGAATTTTGTTGGGTAAACAGCCATTTGCAAGTTATCAACTGGTATGAATTCAGTGTGAAACTGTAGTAGGCTCTACCACAAGTGAGTTACTTTTGTACAGTGCTACGATAGGAACCTTGGATGCTTATATTATCACAACATGATGGCATGCACTTGTCTTAAAATCAACTTAATTGGTATGTGTTCACATTTCAATTTGTTTAAAATGTTAATGTAAATACTGCACCACAGAATAATTAAGAATAGTTGTTTTGTTTTACAAAGTACGTCACATATGATAACTGTAGATAGCACTGAATTTCATGGCTGAGTTGTATGTCATACTTTGAAATCTTTGCCAGGAGACCAGATATCTTGGCTGAGGTTGTTGTTTTATTTGGTCCCTCCAGGCAAATGCTGGGATAATACCTTAAAATTGGGTGATGTTGACTTTCTTACATGTCCTTTCCAATTCATTATTCATCCTAGGATGTCATTCATTGCCTTATAGTCTGTGATACTGACAGCATCATTAAATAAACCAATAATTACTACTAGTACTTCTACTTCTTCTTTTGTTGCTGATGCTTTGTGGTGGCAGTCCTAATATTAATTCTGACTGAAATGTTTTTCTCTCATATGATTTTCTACAGGAGCTGGTAGATGATGAGAACCTTCACTATTCAGACATTATCCAGGAAGGTTTTGTGGACAGCTATAACAATCTGACCCTAAAATCAGTCATGATGCTCAAGTGGGTATCTACCAATTGTCGTTCAGTACAATACATAATGAAGACAGACGATGACATGTTTGTCAACATTAACAACCTTGTTAGGCTACTGAAAGTACGCATCCTCGGCAACCTGCTGGTTGGTGCTCTTATTTGCGGAGCACGCCCCATTGCAGATTCCCAGAATAAGTGGTGAGTGTTCTATCTTTACTAATCTGTATTCTTTGAAGGATTATAGAATGTATGTGCCTGTCCATCTTTCTGAGTCAAAATTTTGCTTAGTTTGTCTACTTACTGAAAGCCACTCCCTCACTTTTGCTACCACCAGATAATGGTCAGTGTCACAATCTGCTCCTCTGAATGATCACACATCAATTATATTTGTCTGCCTTCTATTATCTACTAAAACATTATATATTTGATTGTGTGTGCTACCATCTTGAGAAGTCCAAGTATATTTATGAATATCATTACATTGTTATTATAATTTATTTATTTATTAGGTAAAATTTAAATACCATGAAAACATGGATATCCTCTTAACATTCAGTGAAGATGTTCCCTTTGGAATAGCTGTACAGAAAATTAAGAATATTTGCCTTTCATGTAACAAGAATGTAAGACTAATTTATAATATAAGGCTAGGCAGTGATTTTTTTCAAAATATATAAATTTGGCAGTAGAAGTTATATTAATGATAAAATTATTATACAGAGTTTAACAGAACATTTCACACAATCAGTTACTAGTTTTTGACAGTGTAGTTTCTCCATAGTCATTGTGCATGTGTAGGTATGCTCCACACTACATGTACCAAGGGACAGTTTACCCCAATTATTTGTCTGGTACGGGGTATGTCATGTCACGGGACGTGGTGTTGCGGCTTTACCAAGCTGCTCTGAAGACACCTCTCTTCCATTTAGAGGATGTGTATCTCACAGGCCTGTGTGCTCATGCAGCTAGAATCCGACCAAGACACCACCCATCCTTCACATATAGTAAACGGAAGCTCGACCCCTGCCTGTATAAGGATAAAACCGTCGTTACCAGTCATCGTGTTAATGGTTCTGAAATGCGAAAGGTATGTAGCCTCAGTAACAGTTGCATAATGTTAAAGCTTAATTGTCATTAGACTGTGAAATGTTCACAGATTATTTTGAAAAGTGTGTATTGCACAGTTGCATAATGTTAAAGCTTAATTGCCATTAGACTGTGAAATGTTCACAGATTGATGCTATTACAAAAGGCATAATTGAAAGAGATAGAATTATGTACAAAGAAGGATGAGGATCATTGTTGGTCAGTGTACTGTTTCATCTTATTACACTGCTTTCTGTATTTCATAAAGAAAGTGAGGATTTTGGTATAATGTTCCATATCCCTGGCTTCCATACGTTTGAGCTATTTGGTTAGTCTAATGAAGTTCAGCCACGGTATTACACATTCCTAAACTTGGCAGTAGATGAAAGAGCATTGTCAGCTTTATGTTCCAGCCACATTTACTTCCAGGAAAAGATTCCTGACTTAATCATTATTGTGGCCCAAGAGCAGTACAGAATGATATGAAAGTTGAAGAGCAGTAAAAGGTCAGAACATCAAATACGTTTGCAGCTTTAGAAAACTTGGATAATGATGTGGAATCAAAAGGGCTTAGAAAAGTAAGAGCAAAGAATTCAGCCAAAGAGAGTCTGTGAACATGATTACAAAAAAACATGGTTTTATAAAGTGTGCTCATAATTATTAGATGAAAAGAAGTAGTTTTAAATTGCATAATATGCAGAAGCCAGGAATTATCAGTGCTGTTAATCTGAACAATGTAAGACATGAAATTAGTGCATCTTTTAAAAAAATAAGTTAGCGAATGTATATGTTACCTAACAATTATGGCATGTTTGCCAGAGTTTTACCTTTTGCCTGTGCTGATGGTGCTAGTGATGCCAGTGATGTTTGGCTGGGTAATAACACCACCATGGAGAATTCCCCATATTATTGCTCCTTCTGTTTGGGATTCCTCAAATAAGCAAAGGTACATGGTACCTAAATTAACCTGGTGATTCCCATCAAGTCACTTTAATATAAAAACTCATATAGGTCTTTATGTAAAATGCCTATTATTGTAGTGCAATTTTGACCAAAATTGGTTGTCAGAAAATTTTAGTAAATTCTCTAGTATAAAATTTTTTAAAATCTGTAAAGCAGTTCACAAGTTGTTACATGTGGACATAACAGGCAGACATGCAAAGCCCGTAGACATATTTTTGCAGCTTAATCTCAGAACACACTTAAAAAAGGTATATCTGGAGGAAATTAATAAACTTGAAAGAAACAGTATGGACATAAATTTTAGAGATGTGAAGGTAGGGTCAAGTGTTGGCTTTTGTGAACATAGTAGGGAACCTTTAGATTCCATTAAAGATAAATTTCTTGGCCAGCAGATTGACTATTAATTTCTCAGAGTCTGCTACTTGGAATCAGTTATCACATAGCTTAGACATTATGAATCTAAGTCACATATTTGTGATGTATGTGAGTTTTAAATGATAACATTTTTAATATTGTACTGTATTGTAAAATGGCTGACAAAAATTTGCTGTAACTTTTGATTCTGTCTGGATATTTTTATTCAAGTTGAGAAATGTGGGCTTCATAATGTAGACATTTCAAGTAAGTTAGTGGTATGGTATGTTAGTTTTTATTGTACTCTGGTGTTTAGTGTTTTGTTCCTTCACCTTTAGTAATTCAATTGTATTCAGTTCAATTCTTTATTATTAGTGTGCTGTATCAACAGCCAGAAGGCCAGTTACAGATACAGCGCAAGATGGGAACACAAGAACACAATAATAAATACAGAATGGCAACAGCAAAGAGATTATCTAAAATTACTTGATTGTAGGCATTATAAAGGCAACTTGCTACTGAATACATATCTTTGTACTAACAGTTTAAACAAATTGAATAACTTATGTCATTTAGACTAACATGAGAAGAAAATGTGAAAAACACATAAGGTATTAGATCAGATAATTTACATAATTAAAATGGTTCCAATTATAAATTAAATATGTAATTTATGTTTCTTAAGGTGTGGTCATTGATGAACAATCCACAGTTGGACTGCACTGGTTTCACAATCACATCTGCTGCTGCACAAAAGTCTGGTGCTAAGAATGGAAAACAGCATTTCATAAACCTCAAACGCTCCAGCAAGTGCTTCTGAAGAACAGTTACAAATGTTGCTTCCATTGTTGAAGAAAATATAAATATTTGAAGAAGAAAAAAAAACTCTTTTATGTAAGAGTTGTTATTTATAATAAGGTTAAACAATTTAAAATTATTTTTCGGGATTTGAATCTGGATGGTAATGAGCATTTGAGTAAAATTACAGGAAGAATCATATCTTATGTATGCATTGATAATTCTTTGTTATGCATGAGTGTGTGTATCTGCAAAATGTGGAGTGTGAATCTCTCTTAGCTCAAATTTTGTTGCAGTTCCTATATAATTCCCTTATAGTTTTCTTTCACACAGAAGATACTGTAAACTATTGAGAATTCTTTTTAGATGTACAGACATTTTGTTTCTGTATTGTACAATGGTACATTATTAGTACTTTGTGTGAAGTACTGCAGAAAGTTATTCTACATCATATCACAAAAACAAAGCTTTGCCGTATATGTGGAAAGTATCTGAATTAGGTACATCTGTAATTAAAAAGAAAGAAGATGGCCCCAATTTGAAATCTATACTTTGGTTCTTGTGTCCGTGTAAAATTATAATAAAATTCAGTTCCATGGAACATTATCTGTTAGAACTGTAAGTTTTTTTCCTTTCTATTTGAATTCATGTAATATTACATACACTATGGTCATGATTCATAAATTAAGTTATAAAATATAATGTTTTTAACATTCCTACAACTGTAAGTTCTATAAATTTTGACACATTTTCTTCCATTGTTATATCTTTCAAAGGGGTCATGTGCAGAAGTACAGCTTTCTTTGTTAAGTAAATTGCATATATGTATATAACATAAGTTTGTGACAACTCTGTTGCAAAAGAAATACTCACCAATACCCCTTATGGCAAGAAAAGAGGCTGTATTCAGTCAGTTTTCTAGTGTATTTATTTTTGCATGTTAGTTGTGGTCCTGGTGAAAATATAAATGAAACTGACAAGTTAAATTATGTTAATATTTTATAGACCTACTCTTTAAATATACAAAATTTTGAAAGATCAGTTTATGATATATAAATATATTTTTGATTGCAAATTACTCTTACTGTGAAGGTGATATTAGTTTCATGCCACTCTGATTGATATTTTAAATTGTATTGTTTTTATTAGTGTGAGTATTGTTTTTATTTAATAGATGGGAAGACCAGTCAATGTCCTGTTAGTGGTAATGAACACACTAGGTTGTTTTTAATTTTTAAATGTTTGAGAGTTACCAATCCTGGCTGAAAACAAGTAGTGTAGTTCTTCAGCATTCTTCATACTCCAATGTGAGTGAAGGACACTGTGTTTTTCCTATGGGCATAGGCAACCTGCATGACTGGGGTTCATTATTGTGCAACAGTGGAAAGATGGAACACATGCAACAATTGTGTTTGATCAGATCAACCCAACAATGACACAAGGTGCAACAATTGCCTTGGGACACATTAGTTCAACAGTGACCTACGTATTATGGCATGAAGAACATCTTTGGGATGTTAATGTACTCCAAAGAGTACACCTTTCCAATCTTTTTTTCAAGCTATGTGACAGCTTGTTCCTTTAGCGTGTGGATTTCAATTAAAGAACAGTAATGTATATCATGTATACATTGTGTTCACTGATAAAATAGAATACTACTGGAAGATTTCCGTCTTCTGGGTTGTTGCGCTGTGTAGTCTGGTCGATGTTTACCAACGTTTCAGATGAATCGCCCTGATGACGGAGGCAGTATGACCTCTGAAACGTTGGTTAACGTTGACCAGACTACACAGCGCAACAACCCAGAAGACGGGAATCTTCATACTCACCGCTGTGAAAACCTCAAATCCTACATAGAATACTACTGTTACTTCCTGGACCCTGGGAGGATCTGTAATAAAAGGGAATAATAATAATAAATAATAATTTATTTACATTCCAGGAAGTTGATTGTATTGCTTTTATGGAATGATACTTGATTTGTATTAGGAAAAACTTTGTGTTTGGTAGTGAGTCATGCAGTTTCAGCCGGAAGTTTGAAATTAACAGTTCTGTTCAACTTTTATCACTGAATGCACTGTGCAGTGATCCAGTCTGCAAATATCTGTGGTTTACTGAATGTCATGTTTATTCACATGATTACTATAAATCACTTCATACTAGTATCTTACTTAGAACATTTGGTATAGCCATTGCTATTGCTTGGAAGACGTACTGTAATTTATCACCAAAAGGTTCTGCATCAATATGCAGATTGGTTGTAACATCCTAGATATATACACATTTTGGTCTCCCCCATAATTTATGGTAAAATATTTGGTACTTACAACTTTTCATTAAACTTTTCATTACATTTTCATCAACTTACTAATCTTCAATCTGTTTCAGATTGTGTATTTTTCTATTGATGTAATTCATGTGCTTGTAGTGCTCTTTACTTTCCAAAAATGCCCCTTTTTGTTTTCTTGGTGGCACCAGTTGCAACTGTGGTATCATTTACAGGCACACATGTAAAGTGTGTGTAGTTGATAAGCAATCCTTTCATGTCTTTAAGAGTGATCGAATGTCAAGAAGAAAACAACACAGCAATGATACTTGTGATTTATCAACTATATGTGAACTACAAAACCAAGAATGCAGTATGTAAAATTGTTCTTTTGGACTTTGTCCATCATCTAAATTATAAAACTACAGCATTTCAGAAGCTGAATTGTGCTTCTGTCTTCAGGTAGAAAAGAGGGAAAAGGACAGTTAGGCTTTCTGCCCTCTTTCCCCTTCTGAAATGCTGTAGTTTTATATTTCTGAAAGAAATAAAGCTCATGAAATTTTCCTGTAGTGCTCAGATTTCCATGTGGACTTGCACCAAGCTGCAGCCGCATATCATGCCTATGCCTGCAATAAAAACACACAGTTTTATGAATTGTGTGTTGTAATATGATATTCTTTCAAGTTGAAGTAAATGTGTTTTTGTTAAAACTGCATATAAAGGTGAAGTAATAACAATATTTCTCTATGTTGGTATAATTTACCTCTGAATCTCATTGATAATGGTAAGAAGACATAATTAGGCCTATATTCCCTATAGAATAGATTTTTAATTTGTAATTAGTGTATATGTTATGAGATAGTTTAGGATGTAAAAATTCCATTCTTGATGTGACAGTTTGTTGTGTGAGCTGAAAATATTGTGAAATTATTTGTTCTGCAAGTGTGTTGGATTTGTTTTGGCTGTATAAATTTTGTTTTGATAATCTGCATTGGATATTCTCATTTTTATTAAATTATTTTGTCAGTTCTTACAAATTTATTTATGCCTGTAGTACGGTCATATGTATTAATTATCAGTAAAGCTGGGGAATGCCTTATATGGTATTTCAATAAATGAGAATGGCCTGATCCACAGATAAGTCACATCCCTATTTTTAGACTGAAACTTTTGAATGGAAGGCATTACTGCACACATGGTAGTTGTCTCATGGCATACCTGTGATGTATAGTACAGTATATGTAAATAACATGTTTTTAAGCTGATTTTGGATGTTAAAATCAGACCCATGTGTATGATTATAAATAAGGTGTTCCCAGTTTGTGGCATCAGTATTGCAGTTACTGAGAAAATATATTATTTACAGAAAAATGCTAAATGTTCTACATTGAAGTGCTTGGAAATCCTTTTGTACTCATTATAACTGCAGAGGATTGTTTGTACATACATTTTCTTGGTAAAATAGCAGTGGGAAGGTTCTTGTTATTTAAAGTAATGTTGTCATAGGTTCAGAAGTGCCATAATTTCAGAATATAATGAAGCAGAATACTTTGTTGTATTTATGTCATAATGCATAACTTCCAAGGAAACTATCTTATTATCTTAATATTGACAACTCATAAACCAAGTTTATAATCCTGTTAAATCTAAGTCATATTTGTAATATTTCAAGAATCCATAACTTTCATACACAGAATAGAAATTTATTTGTAATGAAGATTGAGCTTGAAATAGTTTTTGAAACAAGGGCCCCCAAACAAATTGCAAAGACAGGGAATTTCTTGATGAACTGAGCAACTGTTAGGTTGTCAAGAAGAACCATGTTCCATGGAATTAATTGGTTGGTTAGAATTGTAGTTACCAGGCTGGTGATCCATGTGTTTATTATATTCACTTTACTTTTTTGTAAATCCTTTTATATAAAAAGAAAAAAATATTTATGTTCATATAGTCATTGTGTGGCTCTGATCGAGAGATTCTGAGATTTCTGGTTCTCATGGCAGTGAGCATGAAGGTAGCTGTCTTCTGGGTTCTAATGCCATGTAGTGTGGTAGAAGTTTATACTTCAGAGGTGGTTGTTGCCTTCATGGTCACAGTGATCACCATGGTTATGATGGAAGCAGTAAGCACCTTTGAAATGTTAGTAAAGTTCTACCAGGCTACATGGCACAACAATCCAGAAGACAACCATCTTTGAATGAATTTCTGTTCTTATTTCTGCCAAAAATACAATATGAAAATTATTGTCTTTTAAGCACACATGCATCAAAGTTGAGAATCTTATCCTTTTGTTATGTACAAAATCATTTTCAGAATGTTGTTATTCATAGTGCAGTGTCGCTTATAATACTTTTCGTCAAATATCCCATTCATTATTTATTTTCTAAATCAAGTTTGAGCTATTTAATTAAATGAATTGATTTCCCTGATGCCACTGATGATGACCTTTTAAGGTTTAAACGCGTATGGCAATAGTGTCTTCTTTATAGTGTTAATAGTCGTTTGTGTGCTTATTTATATTCTAATATACTGCATGGTATGCAAAGTTTTAAAACTAATAGCACTTATTTTGTCTTCCTGGCTGAAACCCCTTTTATCTTGGATGCCACTGATGCTATTTTTAATTTCCTCAGCTGCTGTTATTGAGAAGTCAGAACTATGGCTTCAGTGTTATTACACACACTAAAAGGAAATTAAATGTACTGGGTATGACTAATGTTAGTACTGCATGATCTTATTTCTGACATCATTATCAGTCAGAAATGTCATACAAACATGAGTCCAAATCTCAGAGGTTACAAAGCTATGGATATTTTTAATTCAGTGTGATGTTAACCCTGAGAGGAACATCAGAATCATTCATGCATATTTGGACAGTTTTTAATTTTAAAAGTCAGCATAACCTATTTCATTATGACATGCACAAACCATGGAATATTCATGTTTTAATAGCATAAATACTCTGTAAGATAATACAGAAGTGTGTAAATGTTAACTGTGGTAATATGCACAAATACTCACGTTTCCACTTGCTGATGACATAAATCCTTTCATTGTTTCTGTTAAGGTATTTAGTGCATTGTTTCCTTTCATGTAATTTAGACGGGTATAACTGTTTCATAAATGAGGTTCCTGTTCACCTGCCCATTAAGCTTTCAAGTGTCATATCTAACAGTTTTTTGTAAAAAACAAGGAATCTAATGCTTCTTCTGTTAATTATATTCCTTTAATGATAAGTGAGAAACACTATCACTTGGTGAACATAGAGGAAACACTCGAAACAAGCTGAGGGTTAACATGTGATCTCCATTTCATACTTCTATAGGAGACATTCTAAATCATTTTCTTTCTCTCCCTTCTATCCTCTTCACCTTTCTGACAACCTTCTGATGCATTCTAAATCATTTTCTTTCTCTCCCTTTTATCCTCTTCACCTTTCTAACAACCTTCTGATGCTTAGTTAGAAGATATCTACTTATTATACAGACTTGCCTTATTAATTTTTGAAAATAAATAGCTTGTAAGCTTGATAAATTGTTGGCATAAATTACTGACTGTGCGTTTTATACCCATTCTACAATACAGAATGCTTGTCAGATCAGTGGAAACTGACTGAAGATTGGTATTTTCTTAAAACCAATTTTACTCTTAAATTACATTGCCTTTTTAGTGAAGTGAGAACTAGTGAATAGTATATGCATCATATTTTTTTGAGACTAAGGTATTTTTAGATATATGTGCTCTGGAATCTGTATAGACACTAAAGTAAACAAATGTTTGCTTATGCATTAGCCACAGTACTTGTAAATGAACTTTTTTTAAACAGTTGGGATAATTTAAGTGTCTTGAAATATTGAGTGTTTTAATTGTAAGAAGATTGTATAAACCTAATTTGCCAAACTGTTATTTAAAGTTCTTCTGTGTATTAGCAATAGAACTTGAAGTAAAAATATTTTATATTTACTTATTGAATTGTGCACAGGTTTTTAAAATTAATGTTACATCATTAAATGGATGTTGTTCTTATTGGCATAATGTAACTTGCATTGAACTGTAAACCAGGTTCTTGTTCTAGTACTAAAGTTTGTCACCTATAAATTTTCTGCAGAAGCATTATAGTTTGAAACAATGACTGGTAAATTAAGATTGGAGACTGGCCATCCTGACTGTGGTTTTTCTGTCCCTCCAGGAAAATGCCAGGTTAGCCTCAAATAAGCCATGTTTGCTTCCTTCCACATCCTTTTCAATTCATTACTTGCCATCATCCGATGCTATATAGCATCAATAATAAGCTACAAAACATATCCGATGCTATATAGCATCAATAATAACCTACAAAACGTGTAGGGTTTGAGGTTTTTATGGTGGTGAGTACAAAGATGGCTGTCTTCTGGTAGAAGCTTACCAGGGTGAAGAGTCACTCAAGATTCATTTTCATCTTATTCTTCAGTAATTTTTCTATCCTTTTGTTTTACTTTTCAAACACATTTCTTTCTTTTAGTCAAGACTTTGTTATAGGAATGTACATGTACCCATTTAGGAAGCTTGCAATATAAAAGTCTTTTACTTTTTACTTTTGATTGATTTCTGATGTGACAGTAGTGGTTGCTACTAACAGAAAATGTACTGCACAAAGCAATGTACCAAGATGTTCTTTATTAATTAAATAATGGTGAAAATGTTATTCATAATAGTTTAGTATATCTCATTGCTAGAAACTGTGGAAAAGATGTATCCATCAAAATGAAGTACTTCACCATGTCCAAATAAAATAATAGTTCTGAACAATGTTAGGATAGTCCAAATATTTACAAACTATATCAAGAGGTATAAAATTATATGTGCAGGACATTAAATAAAATCTGTTGCTACTGCCTCATAAATAACCTAGACAAGCACATTAAAGTATCTGTTTACTATTATGTAAATTAAATTATAAAAGACTTTTATCATCAAGTCTTCAGTTGAATTGTTTTCAGAAAACACATTGTATAAATGCTGTTTAAGTGTAATTTACACATATTTCATTCTCCTTAAAACTATTTTAATTATTTTCATTGTGCTGTAGGTTGCTTCATGAAATAACTAATAAAATACAACTCTTATTGGACAAACCTAGGGCTTTGAAATATGATGGTGGAGTCTTTAATCTAAAATAATTGTTGAGTGGTTCTTGTGTTCCACCTTCAGTCAGGTTCAAAGAAAATATCATTCATTTATGTCTGTGTTTTATGATGCTGTCACACATATGCATCACCATTGGAGTTCCATATTCTTATGAACGAGAATTCGTCCAGTATTCAGTTTGTTGGTGTTTACTGTGGACATTTATGTGGAAATATTGTAGATTGTTTTCTCACATCAGGACAAGGGTTTGTGTCTTACAGAGTGCATGCACATGTACTGTAAATATTAATGTTCAGTTTTATGAAGTTTGTCTGAGTTTTATGCCATGGAGATAATTATTTTGAGTTTCCTGCTGTAAAAAATATTTATGATAGCAATAAATATGTACAGTGAGTATTATTCCAAATTATGTTCTCATTTCAAATTCATTAAAAAAATATTACAAAATAAAAAATAAATGTTTTACCATGTTGAATATCATATTGCTGAGGGTGAAGTAATATCTCCTTTCATAGCTGTTTTCTCTGTGTTCATATTGCATTATGTAGGTTTTGGACAAGCCAAGTTTTAATCTCTGTGTTCATATTGCATTATGTAGGTTGTGGACAAGCCAAGTTTTAATCATTATATTTCTCATTCCCATGTTAGCCTCTGATCATGTGGGGCACTGATTTTGTATGAATTGCTTTTTGATGGCAGCGACTCAGACATTCTGTCTATTGATCATTAATTAATATCTGTTTCAGTTATAGTGTCAAGTTGGAATCCAAAATATGAATTTCTATTCAAAGTTATTTATTCTTATTAATTATTAAAGTTTGGTGACTATGTTAGTAGCCAATTTATTTGTAAAGCAATTTATGTATATAAAATTTGTATGCAATTTGTTTCTGCTCTAGACACGAGGAACCTACCCTTGCACTCAGTGTGATGTGAAGATTTCAAATTAGTAAACGGTGTACATTAAAGGTCTTGTACAAACATAAAGACGAGTTTTACATACCAAAACTATGAAGAAGTGAATGTGGGTCTGGAAAAGTCTCATTTTTAGTCACACTCCTCATTTTCCTTTCTGAATTTTCTAATGTACCTTCAGCCTTTGTTGTTTCCTACCATGCTCCTAGCAATTGCTCAAAATGTCCTTCATGATCTGGATACTTGGTGTTGCCATTTATATACCCATAAAGAAAATCCATGTCTTAACATTACTTGGGAGTGAATAAACATTCACCTTCATGAAAAATTCAGCATGAATTGACTTTCAATACCAATACAGTTACACTGTTTTGACAATGTTTATCAACAGACTTTTTATAATTCCCATGTGATGTAATTAATGGATAAATTAAATTTTGCAGGGTTTGATATGCATTGTCAATGTTGAAGTTAAAATGTATCTCTGAAAGTTTAACTGTTCCATTTGGCCTTTGAACCCATGCCCCTCTCTTGCCACTGTTGCCCCAGAATTGCTATGAGGAAAGGTGGGAAGCAATGACTGATATTTTGGAAAGGAAAAATTGCTATAAGTTTGAACAAAGTTTTTCCTTACCCATGTTCACTTGAGTTTTTCATTGTTTTATTATGTGGAACTTACCCTTATATTTGTGCCAGGCTTTTAAGTTATACTTCCCACTGCAGTTGTAAATGACCTCTACAGAATTATACTTCTAGCCAATTCCTTAATTGCAGAATATTTCTAAATATCTATCTCCACCTAGCCAATTCCTTAATTGCAGAATATTGCTAAATATCTATCTCCACACAACATGTAACAAATTCATGCACTCATGTATTACATGTCTTTATGTTGAATTTTCTCCTGGTAAGCATATTTCAAACTTAAAATGGCTGTCTTCTGAGTTGTTGCACCATGTAGTCTGGTGGAAATTTACTGACGTTTCAGATGTCCTTGCTGCCTCCATCATCAGGGCCTCAAATCCTACATGTTTGAAACTTTCTTTGTCACCTTCAGGCCATATTATACCACATGCATGGTGAACTACAGTATCAAATCTAAGTACATTTCACTATACCATATACACTGTAGACTCAAAACATAATAAACAAATATAACCAAGAATAATCAAACGCTTAATTACTGCAGATCAGATTCATACCCTAGTACTTCAACAATTCACCATAACACACAACCATAATATAAGATTGTGCCAACAGAAGTTGTACTTACTTTAATACAGCAAGACATCTACCCAATTAAATATCTACTACACAACAAGTGACAGTGTGTGGTGATTCCATGTAATACTAAACACATTTAGCTTCAACTTGGAATTACCATTCAGATTATGAAAATGAAGTTTCAGTGTATTTTAATTTTTAACCAAAACCTTATTTAACAAACTACAGTATTAAAAATAGTAACATTCTTCACACAATATGTCAGCAGTAAGTACAGTTTTATACATTTTGTGTATGCTGTTTAAATTAATTTTAACCCATTTTTTATAACGAGTAGTTTGCAGGAATAGCTAGAGGCCTCAAGGTGGACAAATTAAATCTGAAACATGTCTAGGAGAAACACCAACATAAGAACTTGTAAGAAATGACTGCAAGAATTTGTTATTGTGTGGAGAAGGACACTTACAAAAATTTAGTTATGTCCACAACTTAATGCTCCAATATTACCTTATGCCTTTAATTATAGATATATATTTGTGATACAGCATGAGAAGTGGTATATTAGATGTGTTTATATAAATACTGTTTTCAGCAGGCAGATTTAGAACTGTGAATTTAGTTAAAACTATGGTCATCTTGAATAGTATGCCATCATGTATTACTGAACATGTTTTTTAAAACATCATAATTAATATCTCCGTAAATATAAACTTGTCTTATTTTAACTTGAAATAAGATTTTATATTAATATTCATGTTTTTTATTGTGATACTGTATACATTTAAATTAAAACATGTATGTACATTTTCATTCCACAGTGAAACTATGTCAAAGATATAAGAGGGATTTGATTTAAAGCAACATATGAGAATGCTAGAAGTGTATGAATTTTGGATGATATTGCTATTTAAAAGAAATGGTCACTTACCACAGGTTGCACTGATAATTGGAATACAGTGCTACAGAAAAGACTGATTGAAACTGAATGAACTGAAGTAGTAAATATATTTCTTAAACACTTTTACCAAGTCTTGTTTTGATCTTTGCATTTTACATTCTCTTGCTATGAAGTTCAGGGTTGTCTCGTGACAACGAATAACTTCACTCTACCCCGAGCCAATTATGTGGTTTCACTATGCATAGATGTTCTCATAGTTCTCATTAGTAGTAATGAACATTCACTTTCTCTCATTAATAGCCTTGTATCAGAGTATATTTAGTAATTTTTGTGCATGATTTCTGTAGGACTAAGAACTTTAAAAAACACATAAATACTAACCAAGAATGGTGTAAGTGGGGACTTATTGCTGTGACAGGAATGGGTATTAATTGCACTGGCAGTATAACTGATGGTTACATAAGCTAACCAGCAAAGTAATTTTGTCCTCTAGTATATCTCTTCCTTGCTTAGTTGAGAATCTTTGAACCCAGAGGTGTGAAGTAGAAGTGAAGTATAATGAGTATTTTGCCATGCAGAATGAAAACTGCTTATTTTATTGGAAAGAATTTTGCCAGCGAACCCAAACATGCTGTTATTTATTTTTGCTTTTGTATTGCATGTTTTCTCAAAATTAAAAAAAAAAATGAATGTTAAAATGTATTCTCCGAATGTAATATCGGTGAATAGTCACGAAGCGAAACTACAGTAGGCAAATTGATTTAGATCAAGTTAGCGCAGTGGAAGTTTGTCAGTAAAATCGCATGTGGATTGTCATTAGTGAGCTTAATGCTAAGGGGTTATAACGCACAATCGTAACAAGCCATCCAGTTCCCGGAGCATTTGAGCTTAATGCTAAGGGGTTATAACGCGCAATCGTAACAAGACATCCATTTCCCGGAGCATAGAAACTGGGTACCTAACACAGCTTACCAACATTGGTGTCAATAATTCGCCGTTCAATGTTCTATGAGAATAACCAAATATTTCATAGATACCCAACTTTGTAATCTCTGCCACCTATGAAAATAATTTCTGTCTGTCCGCAGTATCGAACACGGGTTTATTCTGTGGCCTTGGTTGTCATTTTGATGTCAGCTTTAGTCGTAGAACTTATGGTTTTGCAGTCTTGGACATTTTGTGCTACGGTTTGTAGTATAAAAAGTATACATTTGAAGGATAGTCAATGAGGTATGCACAAATTAAGATATGAGGTCTTCGTTATAATTTGTGACAGTATGTAGTACGCAGGGTAAATGGAGGTGTTGTATGAAGACAGTAATTGTCATATTGGTTAATAAATGTCAGCATCAACATAACCTTACACCCAAAGTATGTCATTTGATAATTTAATTGCATTTTTCTTTTCACAGCGAAAACGGTGAGACTCAGAATGAGACTCCTTCTGAATCTGACAAAATGGATATTAGCGAAGTCTCAGATCAAGTGTCTTATGTTAGTGAGGTAAGGTAAACTTGTACTTACATTTCGAATGTACCGGTTTATTATAAAAATAAAACCAAAGAGCAACTAGTGATGCTTATTTGTGATGTAAATTCACTGTTATGTGCTTTGTTAACAGAGTCCAAGTGAGACTGTAGACAATTCTGCATTGAAATATTCAGAACCAGATGGATTGGTGCCACTAGATAATGCATCAGCAACAGTTTCACCAATTACTGTTGATGCTACTACTACAGCCAGCTCAACAAGAGACAGACTTGATTCAGCCTTAAGTCTTGAAGGAATTGACTTGGAGTTGCCTACGCTTGATACTTACCAAGAAGAATATGGTATATTGAAATCTGAAACTAAGCTACTTTTACTTCAAGATTAGCCAAGTTCTAATACAGAGATGAATCCCCTTAACTCAGTACTGAGGTTATGATATTGTGCTGTTTGGTCAGGGCTGCCACACACTTCATTGAGGCAATGACAAATGAGTATGGAGCAGTGGTGATTAGCTGGGGAGGGGAGACAAAAACCAGCTCTAGTGCCACTTTATCAACCAAAATTTCAGTTTAAGTCACCCTAACTAACAGACAAACAGTGTAAACAGGATGCAGTAGCCTTGGTTTTTTGTTATGCATGCTAGTCTGAGAGACTGGTTTAGAATGTTTCTTTTGGTGGGGGGGGATAATTTTTTTTATCCTTACTGGCAATATTTTGCTGTCTTCTGAACTGGTTACTTCAGAAGAATATAACTCATATTCTCTGTCCATATTTTTCCTAAAAATCTTACATTACTCTCCCACTCCTTGGAGGCTGTGCATAGGTCAATTCACATTAACAATGGGATTTTTATTCCAGTGTTGTAACATGTTTTTCTTTGGGAGAAACTGGTAGTGAAGTGCACCCATAATTTTTTGTGGATTTTAATCACTGAAGTGCTTACTTTGATTCTGATGCTGCACGGTTTTAATTTTAACAAAATATGTTAACCCTACATTTGCCCAGGTGGTGTCACAGCACATCCAACTACATATTTTGTCACATCTATCATTTTTATAGAACATTTTCTGTATAAGAGTATAAAATGAAGCATTCATCAGTGATTAATTCTGTAGACATGTGGATTAGACACAAAGACAAAGCACACTCATGGATTCAGTCATACCTAGTTATCAAAGTTTATGGAATGGTATGAAAGTGATTAAATGCCTTTGGTTCCTTTAATGTTAAAGATGCTGTTAGTTTAATGGCATGACTACTAGGAATGACCAAAAGAAAGCTAAATCAACAATGTATGAAATAAGTTTGTATCACATAAAATTGGCAATTTAATTGCAAATTGCATGAATATTATTCAGCAAAATGTCCACCTATGACATTATGCTATACCTTTCTGGAAATATCCTGCGTCTCACTGTTCAAGGAACTGAAATCTTGTTTAATTGCTAGCCTTGCTCTTTGTTGCAGTGGATTTTCCAAGCAGTCCAAAGCAGTTGAAAGAATGTTTGGAAGCATATGGTTTGGCCATGCCTCTTGAGAAGGATTCTGGAACTGCAGGTTAGTAATGGCTCTGTATAGTAATTTCTTATGACAGCATTGTGTCATGTCTCCAAAACATGCAGATGCAATATGTTATCTCAGTTTTTGTATGTTTTTATTTTTGGACTGTTTGATAAATGTTTAGAAATCTGAGAGTGGTTCACGGTTGACTTAGATTTTTTTTATTTGTTTAAAACTCATGCATGTAAGAATTACTAAAGTATTACTCCTTTTCAGTATATTTTTCCCTCTACACTGACACGTTTTTGTCATCGCTGTGACATGGTATTGATGCTGGCAGCGAAGAAGGAAGTAGGCTGACTGTATAGCCAGTATAGGACACCATTGTATTGTGCATTTATCCTGCAGAGAATATCAGCCAGTTTTACCTTCTTTTTCACAAGGATTTTATACAGCACTGTTTTATACTTGGAGTGACAGAGTCCAATGCTATTGTACTGCTTCTGATGCTTTAATATCTTGTCATTCCACTCCAGTGTTTCTTTCCTTCTCTTTCAACTTACTGTTGAATTTCTTATAAAGTTTCTGTTGTTAGATCACAATTATGACTTTTCAGCTGTTTGTCTAGCTTGTCTGTAATTTTACCCTTAAATTTAATGTGACTAGACCTGGTGGCACTAAAGCTGTTCTTAGTTTTGTCCTGGCCAACACTTATATAATTTTCCCAATTGATAATGATTTACTCTTTACTGTACTTGAAGTATCTGAAACAACACTTGAAGTAATTGATCTCTATTTGTTATGCTTTAAATTGTAATACAATATTATTCTGCTCTCTTCACACCTGCTGGTGGCCATGAATCATACCACCTGGGGACAAAACTACTTACTGATGGGTGCCTTGAAGGTACCATGGCTAATACTCATTACGGTACATAGTTTAATGCATAAAGCTATGTAGTTGGTATAATAGATTTTATCATCATGCTGCGCCAGTGCAATAAATAATATTATATATGTAATGCCACAACCTTTTCATTTTTAAAACCTGAATTTAATAAGAATAATTTGTTGTTTGTTTCTTGCAGTGCACTAACTTTTATGTGTGCAATAGGTTTAAATGTCTCTCACTGTAAACATTGTTTTGTGAAGTTTGTTAAAGGTTCATACAAATTTGTCCAATATACGTTAAATTAAAAATTAAAGCTGTGGCATAACAGCTCCAGAGAGCCAAAGCCGACTAGCTTGACTGCTGGCCTCACGTTCACATGCCTAAGCAGAGGTGAACGATCATCCAACCAGATACAGGGTGACGTGTGGTCAGCACGACGAACCCCCAGCCATTGCTAGCTTTCCTGACCGGATTACGCTACTCATTGTAGCTCCCCAATTTCCTCACGATGCTGGGTTGGCACTGGTCCCATACACTGGTCAAAAGCTCATGAGAAAATTTCTTCTTCCCCGAGACTCGAACCAGCGCGCATCCAATATACATATCTTTTGATAAATTGGATAGCCCTGAAAATACCTTAAATCATGTGCCACTGGTATAACAACATGCTGCAGTGCGTGAAGCTTTAATTTTATTTGCAAAGGCTCAGCAAAGAAGCTGGAATCCCGTAAGAAGTCTATAAAGGGTTATACTGTACTGAGTGATTGTGTAGTGAGTTTTTTTGTTTAAAAACACAAGATGGATTTATTTTACACTATTACACTTGATCGTTTCATGTTTTAATGTCTGATGCTCCACAAATCACTGTCCTGATTTTCTGGACATAAATGCTTTCTTCTACATTGTACTGTTCTTCTGGTTTCCTGACACAGCTATAGTGCAGCTGCTCAGTCAGAGCATTCCTCAATCCATGAGTGTTACTTCACTTGGCAATAAACTCGAGACTGCTTTCTGACCTGCCCATAGCCCATTATTTATAAGACTTCTATTTTACCAGAGGTTAACGGATGTCACCAGTTATTTCCACCAGCATCTTGAATGAATGTATGATGTTAAGAATACTGGCTGAATTTGTTGGAATATGTAGATGTGCACTTCACCAACTGGCTGGTTTGTTTGAATACAGCGCTATGGGAGGGGTAAATTCAAGTTGTCTACTAAAGAAGTGGGGGAGGCTTGCCAACAATACATTAAGAAGATATGATCATTTGAGGAAGGTTCAGTAAAATTTGAAATGTTAATAATAGTTAAAGATAAGCCTTTAACTTTATAAGATGAACAAATCTCTCTGTCCCCATCAGATTTTCCTTTCAAGCATGTATATTGTTATAAAAAATGTAATTTTTATTTTATTGTATTACAGCTTTAATTGTTTGTTTTAATGAGGCTGTTTTGTTAAGGTCGTAGTGAAGAAGAAGATGAAGAAGAAGATACATCCATATATCAAGCTGTCCTCTCACCAGACTGTCAGGATGTTCGACTTAAGAAAGGTTAGAGAATTTGTGTTTTATTTGCAAAGAAGTATGATGAATTTTATGTTGGATTATTCTTTCATGAATGAGGATTAATTGTAGTTTCCTCTACACTGCTGTTTAACTTGAGCCAGTTTTCAGAAAGAAGATTGACACTTTTTTTATATACAGTGTTTATGTCTCATTGTTTAGACTTAAAAATGGACTCAGCATGTTATAATGACAAAGAATAAGTTTGTCTTGTGCATGAACCAAAATCTTTTGGTATGAACTGTGACCTGAGGAGTAAACTTCCTTAGAAAGATCTCTATTCAGGATGATATTGTAGCTTATAAAATGGTTAATTACAGATGTTTAATCTGCCATATTACTTTCCTGAAATTGTGAATTGAGGCCATTAGCTTTTTGTATCTTGTTTGTAAGTAAATACAATTTCAAAACAATCAGCAAATTTTGTTTTACAAGATACAGCAATACTCAAATAACCTGGCATATAATAATGATACTTGTTGGATATCTTTCACATTTCTATTTTATATCTAGACCTACATCATAAGTAGCTGAAGACATTAAAAGACAAAATCTAGGTTACTTTAGTTTAGTTGCCTGTGATTTTTACACTTCCTACTGCAGAAACGTAGCAAAGAAATACACAGAAGATTCAGAACTTCCATGAATTGGTAAGGGTCTCAAGCACAACCTCAGCTGACTTTGTCTCTGGCTGAAGTTGGAAAGAAATTGTGGTTTATTATAAGTAAATGGAACATACTTAACGTAATTATTTTATTACTGTTATAAACTTTTAAACATTTCTTTGTTCTGGAGGACATTGTTCTCCCATGTCTGACATCTAAATGCTATTTGTTAAGTTAATTATCTGTTCTTTGTATAACAACTAATCCATGTTGACGTAGATAAAATGTTTGAGCTATATACATGTTTTCATACCCAAAATTAATGTTTTACCTCTGTATTAGTTTTCAAAGAAAGTATCTGAAATATAAAATATGGAGAATAGCATTTGATTTACAGGTCTAAATCTTCATATTCTTTAGTTTACTTCTTTACAGAATTTTTCTGATTTTGGTCTGGAATTATGGCTTTGCAAGATGTGAGTTCTTGTGTTGCGATTTATTCTTGAACGTTAACTTGTAACCCTGGGTTTGTCTTAGGTGGGTGAAGAAAACAGTTATAAGCATGATTTGAAGCTTTTGTGGAGACAACTCAATAAAATCTTCTTGGGCAATCACATCAGAACCCTGATGATGGGGGTAGAGATGGTTCCCAAAACATCGATCACTTTGTGTAACCAATTGATGTGACTGATTGCCTGGGAAGATTTTATTGAGTTATATGCAGTAGCAAATCCAAACATTTATGCTCAACTACTAGATAGAAAATAATACGTGCCATTTACATGAAAAATATAGCAAGGAATAAAAATCTATTGTAAGCTTAAATGTGCGTAACTAAAATCATTTCATCTCATTCGTTAATTAAATGTATCAACTACTGTGTATGAAAATTACATCTGCATAGCTTTAATAAAGTGAATGATGTTTATGTATGTTATTCCAGTTGCTTCAGTAAATATTATTTGTTAGTTAAGATTGCTAAAAGAAAGATGCTTATTGTTATTCCAGTTGCTTCAGTAAATATTCTTTGTTAGTTAACATTGCTAAAAGAAAGACGCTTAGGTCAATGATTTTTTTATCCTTTCATACCATGAGGTTTGTAGCATGAATAAAATAAGTGAAATGTGTACCAACAACTTTTGGCACAGATGTCATTTACATTAAAATAGACACATTTCAGTCTCAGAGACCATCATCTGTGTTATTACACATCTCATTCGCCTCATTGATTCAACAAATACAGTAAATTACACTATTATTGTGACAGTGTTTGTCATTAACACTGGTAGATAAAATTATTGAAGAATTGTAAGTTAATCCAAGTTATAATGTATTTAACATGTAACGATTCTAAAAAAATAAATGTGATTACACTGTGTGGAGTTTCATCAATAACCAGTTTACTTTGATGTAGCGTGTGACAACACAGATGACAGCCTCTGAGGCTGAAACATATTTGTTTTAATATAATTGATATTTGTGCTAAGGGTTGTTGGTACATATTTTACTTATTTTATTCACTTCATGTTATGTTGATTCTAGACGCTTTAGCAGTTTGACATGGAACTTTTGGAGAATGAATTTATATCATGCATGTAATTAGGAACAATAATGCAGGCCAATTATTGGTATAGTTTCAGGTGTAGTTATAAATACAAAAATTCATTACATGCTGATTAATTATTTTTTGTCTCACACGATGCCTGATAGCAAATTGTGTACATTGAATTTATTATTATACCAGTATACATAAATGTTATTACCTGTAGTGTTAGTAATTCTACACTACAGTTGTATTTCTTAGCATGTATTGTGGCAATCTGAAAATTTGTTGAAACTTCAGTAGGTATGAAAAATGCCAGGTTGAAGGTGTGAAGTGTATTGTCACCCAGTTCATATAATCTTGCTTAGTGATGCTTGCTTCATGTTCCTTTCCAGGTAAAGGGGAGTTATGAGTGGTTTAAATAAGAATTTTAAAACACCTTAAAACGAATTCTTATTCTGAAATGAGTTTTTAAAATTTTTTATGGGCTTTTAATAGAATATAGTGGCTCAGTTCATGATTTGTCTTTAGTGTCAGAGTCACAGAGTCATAATTAGTTCTGCAGTATACTCATTAGCATTTTATTTTTGCCATTGTTCAAGGGCTTCACAATTTATAATGACCTTTTTATTTCTGTTAATGTTTCAGGATTTTACTTCTTTGTTTTAGCTTAAGAATATGCACATACGCATTAAGTTATAACATCAATAATATTAGCCTTAATTGTTTGATTTTGTAATTTCTTTCTCTTTACTCTGGATATATGTCTTATTTTATGTTGTTTTCTTTTTTCTTGTGACACATTGTAGAACACTGTGAAGAAATTATCAGTGTATTCAGTGAGTCTGTTGAAAATTTACCATCAAGTTCTCAGGATGGCTTCCCAGCCAATGAAAATAAAATAGAAGATTTGGCTGATATGAATGGAAATGGTAATAAAACATCTGAACATTTAGAGAACTTCAAATGTAAACTACGAAGAGTATTAACTCCCAATCCTGAGGATGCTATGTTGCCAACTTTATATGGAAACCAAGCTGCTATTAAAGTACTGCCTGACACTCTACTTCAGACACCACCCAGTTCATCATTAAATATTACTAAAGCTGTCTCATCAAATGTCTTAAAAATCCCTGCTTCACAACAGAGCAGGAGTGGATTGAATATGGACATGAAAAGTCAGTCTAATTTAGATCTTAGAATGTCTGCTGATTATAGTGGAGATTCTGTTGGTGAGGATTCAAGTTTCATTTTTGAACGTCGTAATTCAAAACGTTTAGCAAAATCGGCCTTTGGTGGACGTGTTGTAGAGGGATTATTTGTGGAGAGTCCCTTGATCAAAGATGAATCTGTTGCAAGTAACTCAGGACTTCGGAAGATAGCATTGTCTCGTAGTCTGCAAAATATGGAGAGTCCTACAGGTGAAGATTCACAGGGTCCAGATGAAACCTCACCCAGTATATCTGAAACACAAGACAAACAAGTGTCAATGTCAACATTTGAAGAAAGACTTAATTTTACTAATTCTAACATAAACACAGATTTTGAGAGAATATCCCAAGTGTTAGCTCTACAGAACAGGGTGATAACATCTGTGGAGATACACAATGAACAGAGGGAGACTGATAATGAAACCCAACCAGTAAATAGTGATTATAAACCTGTTCCCAGAGTACGTACTAAACCTCTTACAAAAACACATGGTACACCAAATTCATTTAATGATGGGTCATTCAGAAGTCCGCCATGTCCAAAACCTCGACGGAAGTTGAAGAGTTTATCAGAATCAAGTTCAGATATTTGTAATAGTAACAGCAAGGACAGTGAAGGTGTGAAACTTACCAGAGGACCTGTACTGCTGGATCCCATCACATTGCTGCATCATGCACAAAGAGGAGCTCCCAGTATCAGCCCTGTTGGTTCAGTGGAAATTCTTCAAGGTTGGTCATTGATCCATCCTTGGTGGTGAAATATGGGATCTTGGCATCTTGAAATGCTTAATTTTTAAAGTGAAAGAGTAAAAAGATGGACTCTTATTCCATTGAGTTCTGCGTGGGCATATGGTGTTTGTAATGGGTTTTACTCTGCATTTGCTTGTTTTTCAATTTTAAACTTTCTGGATGAATGAAATTGGGAGTAGTGGAATGAGCTTTCCATTTGTGCTGAAGTTCTTTAACTCATCCTTAAAATCTAAAAACACTGAACTCTGTTTAACATCTTAATACAAATAATGTAACAGTGATCAACTTTTGACTGACATGAATGCTAGTGTAAATACTGTAATTTTACTGTTGTGTAATGTCATGTTGATTTTTGATGTGCATGCCTTTTGTGTGCCTTAATAACACATAATTCTTTTGGCTTAAAGTTAAATAATTTGGTTTGTAATTACAATTAATTTTTGGTATTTTATTTTTTTATTGTAAGTTCAGCATTTGAGCTGCATGTTATGTTAAGGTATGCAAGTAATTGGTTGTTGCTGCAAATTTATCTGAAATGCTTCTTACTTTTGCTTGCTACAGCATACTTGTTTAAAGGTTTTAGCATCAATATTTTCTGCCTTCAATAAACAAAGGGTGTTTTCTGTGAATTTTTTATTTCTAAAATTTTGCATGTTTTATTTTTGTGGAGAGAAGGAGAGAGCATGTGCATGCTCTTCACAAGAAAAAACAGCATTTGTTAGTGCTAATTTTACAGTGTAATATCGTCTTTTTATTTTAATAAATGGTTAGTGCTAATTTTACAGTGTAATATCATCGTCTTTTTATTTTAATAAACAGAAAGTGAGTTTATTTTTCCCATATTTGTGAACAGTTAGTTACAATCAAAGTATTTTATTATTTCCAAGCAAATAAAAATATTGAACATCACCACCTCAGCACAGACATTTTACATGGTAATTAACTGTTGAGCGGAGTCCTCTTGATAAGCTTATAGTCTCTCAGATGGTCAAAAAAATTCCCCATCCTTTAAGGAATCTGGAATTTCATTATAGTGATCATGAGTGCAGCGCTGTACCCAATTTTGAGATAGTTAAATCCAGTTCACACCATTTTGGCTTCTTTATGTAAGACACTGAGATAGTTAAATCCAGTTCACACCATCTTGCCTTCTTTATGTAAGATAATCTTTAATATCCTCGTTTGTATGTTATTGTCTTCCAAGTAGTCTTTTTGCTTTAAATTTTCCAACAGGATTATCCTTGACTCCTCAGAGTGATGTGTACAATAGATCAAGTTAGGAAATTGACTTGTAACATAACAGTTGTGATAGTATCAGAAGCACCACACTACTTTAGTTTGTTATTTCATTAACAGTGGAGCAGAATTTTGAAAGATAAACAGTGTTCATACTCTAAGGTAAAGAAATTAGACATTTTTGGTATATATGAAGTATGGTTATATGTTTGTAAAATACCTGCATTTTACTGGAGGAGAAATGGTTCTGTTCTGCAATTTCATGTTCTTTGTTTGAGTAACATTTTATAACTGCTTCCTGTTACTGAGGGGGAAAGATAATTGTGTGTTGAATTTACAATAGACTTGGAAGTTTATTTTTAAATTGCTCATTATATGCTCTTCAGGAACAGATGTCATACTAAATTGAGACATAACTTTTATTTTAAATTCATAGTTGTGATAATTACTTTCAATTGAAAGTAATGTAAGTTCTCTTGTGGTTTCATTAAGCACTTAGTTTATTATGTAATTTGTGTTACACTTATAATAATTTAATATAGAAGTAAAGTGTAATAATTAAAAAGTTGTTTTGTTTGTAAGATTGACTTATTTTCTGTTCTTGAGCTTAGCATTAGGTAATTACACATATTTATTTTATTAAAGAAATTGAGTGTGTTTGTAAGTAGTCTATAAGTTAAAACACGTGTTCAGAACATATGTGAAGTGGGTCACTGGTTGTAGAAGAGCAAGTTTTTATCATGTATCACTGTCAATATTAAAGGGTTACTGCATTAATTTCTGGTAACAGTGGTTTAGTTATAGGGTAGTGTGCTTAGAAGAAGCATTTGCCTGTACTGATGAGGCAGAATTTTACCGACTGAAAAATATACTTGTGCACTGTTAGTTGAAATGCTAACATTGAAATGATGACAAAAGTTTGTTAGTTAAGAATGTTTCATCGTGTAACATTGTGCTTCAGTTGCTTAGACTTCAACATCATGTGTGCTAAGAAAATATGGCACAAGGAAAGGGATGCATATATTAAAGAAACTGGGGATAGGTGCCTACAAAACAGGTCCCAGAAAATTTCTGTGAAAAGTTTATAATTTAGTCCAGTGCAGAATTACTCACGTCTGAGAGTCTTTCATCAACTTCAGTCACCGCAAAAGCTTCACTTTATACAAAATAATTATTGTTACCTGTTTACAACAAGGGCCACATTGTGGTATCTATGTTTCCTGTACTGTTACAACAAAAATTTTTGTTACCTGTTTACAACAAGGGCCACAATGTGGTATCTATGTTTCAAGTACTGTTACAACAAAAATTGTCTTTATATTTTCAATTTTCCCATAATTTCCTTGGAGCAAGCTTACACATTTGAATGTCTTTAAATTCTGAGTTCATTTACCTTTTAAGTACACAGTGCTACACACAGAGAGCATGTTACCTTTTCAGGTTTCCCTTTTTTAATTTACTTTGGTTTCTACTTCTGTTGCCTATTCTTAAAAGTACAGAGGTTGTATGTGAAATATGTGGTTTGCTAAAAATTAGGGGAGAGGCGAAATAAGTAATGCAATGCAAATTTCAAAAATAATGTACCAGAGTTACCAAACTTGTGTGTATAACAATGGCTCTGTACCACAGTACTGAAATATGGTACAGTACAGTAAAAAGAGGTCATCAATGTTTTCTCTTTGTGTTCCTTTACGTCATAGTAATACATATATCCCTAATTCCCATCCAAGTTTGTGAAAACTGCAGTTGTGCACATATTTAGCCATCATGCTGCATGTTTATAACAGTTTAGTTGCCCCTCATTGCAGCTTGATTTTGCAAAAAGTTCTTATTATTTAAGTCTGATGTCATTGTCAAATAGGTATTCAGTGAAGTTTTTGTGGGTAATCAGTATTTGTTTTGAATGTTGTCTCTGCCCTCCTCATCTGGCTATATCCCAACAAATTCAACAGAGAAAATACAGGTTCAATGTCAGTCAGTCTTGAAACTGACCATCAGCATATTCCAGTGAAGAAGAGCCATAAGCAAATATAAGGAAAGCTCAATGATAGCATTCCAGAATGTCTGCATTAAGCAACATTGACTTTGCTTACTGTCCCACGTCCAGACGAGGACACCAGACTGTTAGAGCTATGTGTATAAGTGCAGTGGGCCATTATATCACTCATCACATCACCCTCTGATGATACAGACAATCTCCAAAATATTGCATTCTCTCCAAGCTGATTACCTGAGAAAACTTTATTGCATTTAGGTGCTATTAATGCTTAAAATATTGAAGTAGATATTTCTAAGCAGCTTATATAACAAATCTGAAGGTAATGTTTATGAATTTCCTGCTTGTGGTTGAAGAAATAGGCTTGACAGTGTGATGGGACACCTATTAAAATGGATTTAAAATGTCAGCATCATTACTGGTTTGATAATGAACCTTGAATGTGATGGTTATTATTTGGGCCATATCAAGTAGGTTTTAAAATAATGTTTACAGCAGTTATCATTTTTCATTGTTTTTGTAATAAGATTAAACAATTGCGGCCAGAAATTGTTCGTCCAGTGACAGAGACTAGCTCTATCTAAGGGACCCAACAAGTAGGTACCTCTCACCTGAAAACGGAGACAGAACCAGCCTCGGAAACATTGTGGTTTTAAAGAACAGACGATGGAAAAAGTCCTGACAATGAATAATTTTAAGTGTAAACTACCATCATCAAAACCCTTTAGAATTGAATAAATTGTTATATAAAATATTGAAGGTATTAGCAACTTTTCCTGGATCATTTTCTTTCTCATTGTTTGTAAGAAGAGATGGCATCTGTTCAGTTAAAAGTTTGTTTCATGACTTCATTTTTATTATGTTTCATGTTGTTTTAATTTTATTTTCTGATTTTTCTGTTAGTCTACTGTGATGCTTTTTATCCTGTTTATAACATTCAGTTTTCATTATTTACTTAAAGTGTAATATTATAATGACTTTTAGATATATTCATATTCTCATCAAAATGCATTTTATTTGTTCAACAGTTACTTTTATGATTAAACGTTTATTTCATTGTGTGAGCAGAATGAATTTTAAATTTGACTTCACTTTTCTATGATATTTAAGATGATTATGGGGTGAAATTTACCATAATATTTAAACAGTAACTGTCCTGTGTAAATATGTAGCCAAAGTTTTGTGTTTCTGGTGGATAGAGATGTTTAATGAGTGGAGGCAAGTTTTGTGATATTGCTTCCTTGAAAAGGCAAAAACTAAACAGTATGCTTGGTGGCTTGCAGATTAGTTGTGTTGCTAAGTTCTAAGATATGACTAATTCTTATTATCAAGTAAGATATTAATAATTATTACATTACTAAAAACATTTTGTCTTGTTTAATCCGATCATACTGAACTTTACTGATATTCAGTAATGTCTTACAAGTTAACCATTTGTGAACAAACATGGTTTTGTTGTTATTGCCTGGACCATTTGTTACTCCTTGTAAAATGTCAGTTAATGGGGTTTATCTTGTAAGATGCGTAGTTACAAGGTATATGTCTTTTGAATTTGAGAAAATGTAAGACTCCAATTCTAATAAAATTATAATTTACATCTCTCTGAATTAATAGTGTCATATATCAACACCGCATATCTCTTTGAGGTGCTTTTGGTGTATTGTGACATAATTTCTTCTGAGTGATTTTGATGTTTGTTACTTATGTAGACAGTATATTTGTATCATGATTGATTCCTATGTTATCAAAAGAAGTGGGTATTTGTATTATATTGTGACATAAGTATAAAGTTAAGTAGGAAAATATGTCTTCACAATAGTTACTTTTCATGTTACTTGAATTTTGTGATACATAAAACCTGTTATGTTTGCCTATTTCCTAGAACGCCCTGGAAGTTTAGTAGCACCACAGCAAGGTGGGCGACGTAAAATCCGTGTGAGTGCTGACATTCTAACTGGCAGTGGTTCAGGTGGGGACACTGCAGCTGATGGTGAAGAATCTTCATGTGATAGCCGCCTGTCAGACACAGATATGATGTCACCTGATGACGATCCAGACTTGGATGCACTTATGTCACCTGATCTCGACACCCCTGATGAGATGGAGGACTCAATTATGGAACGTAAGCTTTTTAAAGAATGCTGGAAGAGAAGGATTTTGACTTATTTTTGGTGTGCTCTTTTATATAACACTAATGTGTTAGTGAAATTCTGACATTACTGTTCCTATTCTAGTCATAACATTCATACTTTACTTTCCATGATATCTTTGTTGCCAAATACAGTTCATTTTTGATGAGGATCTGTTTTTTTTTTCTGAGGCTCTACAATCCAGTGTGGGTCTGAGCCACCTCTTTTGGAGGTATCTTGATCTATTAGACATTTGGTAGGACTCCTTGGATGAGTGATCAGCCCATTGCAAGGCCTCTACCTTTACCCAGGACAGCACAACACAGAAAGACACAGACAAACATCCATGCATTGAATGGGATTTGAACCCATGGTCCCAGTGTCTAAGCACACAAGGCCTATGCCTCAGACCACGCGGCCACTTTGACCAGCAATTAGATGCTGATATTACTTCCTCTCCAAATATTCTTAAATTTGTTTTGCCTGTTACTGTTTTCTTTTTTATAATTTTCACAAGAATGTGATAATTTAAAATTGCATTGATATAGTTTATGTAACAATGCTTTTTCAGTAGCTCAGACTATATGGTGTTGAATGAGAGGATGATGGTAAATTGGATAGGATGTGATGTAGTATCTGAAGATTGAGAAATGAGTCAGGAATATAAAAATTAGGTATAACACATATGTCTTAGTTGCCAGTATTATGTAGAATTACTGTCATACATGAAACAGTACTTATATTAGTAATAAATTTGTATTGAGGGCATCCTGCTCTCTAATAGCTATAATAAAATAATGATATAAATAATATCCATCTGTACAACTTTTGAACTTAATGTCTTATTCTTTATTACATTGCCACTGCATGTTTCGGTCTAACCTAGAGCATTTTTACAAATGCATATATAACAGAAAATGTGATCTGGCAGGACTGCATTAATATTAAATAATTTAGTTACTATGAAAACATATCCTTACAAGGATCCTTATAGGACTGTTAAAGGTGTGCTTTTCTTTTTTATTTGTTTAATATAATTTCACTCTTAGATAAGAAAATATTGTAACAAAACATTTTTGAAAGTTTCCCAAACTTTAATGTTTTAACCACAGACCTAATATTCAGCATGTTATACATTTGTTTTATAATTCATGATTTATGTATTAATAGATTATAAGCCATACACAATTCAATATAAAACTCACATGCTGCTGAAGATGGCCTGTGTGACTTCAAAACATGTAATGGTATTTTGAAAAAGAATAAGATATTAGAAAAGAAAATTGTATAGCTGGATATTGTTTATAGTTGGCTGCCATGCTTTCTTCAGAACCAAAGATTGTCACAGTAATGTGCTCAAATTATTAAATCAAAAGAGTTGTAAAAAAGGAACATGAATTTTATGTGTAAGTACTGATTTCATATCTCATGTTATTAATGCAATCATTGAGTAACTGTAGAATGTGACAAAATTTCTTTGTTTTATTACTTAGATGGTCATTTACAGATATAAAATTAATGTTCATATTTATCAATTATTAGTTTGATTTCAACAACATGAAAGTTACTGCAGTGGCTTCAAATTTTAATATGCAACTTTGCTGCATGTGTTCTTACCTTGAAAGCACACAACAGTCAATATCAGTGTGTTGTAGCCATTCTATTTTATTGACAGTAATACTTATAATAGAAGGCTCTATTCATTGAGCTGTTCTTGTAAATACTGTTTTGTCTTTTATCTCTTTTCATGGATTGTCTTAACAATTTTCTGTTAAAATTTTGAAACACTGAAGTGAGTATTATGTATGAAATTAATATATTTGATACCATCTATATGTCTTTAAACCTATATTGAGAGAAGTGATTCTGTTATCTCCGTCTTAATTGTTTTATTATCCAAGCATATACTGAGCTCACTGTAAATAGAAATATGGTCACATGTCAGACCAGAGTACGCATGCACAGTGCTGTTCTGCCTTCACTCATATGAGATTTTGTTTCTAGTTACAGTAATCCCAATGTGGTATTAATTTTATATATTTCTGCACAGGTTTAGGAGAACCTCCTCCAGCACCAGTTCCTATTCCAGAGTTAAGTGCAGCCGAAGAGAGATCTGAAGCTCGTAGTTGGCGCAGTGTTGTTGTAGCTGGCTTGGAGCGGAGGATAGACATGAAAGTTATTGAACCTTACAAGAGGGTTTGTTTCACCATTCTTTTAAATTTGTTAGTATCAGTCTGAATAATTGTTGTTCCTTTACAGTAGAACCTTCTTAATTCATTGTTAGCTAATCAATTGCCAGTCTTGTTTCTATTAGAATTATTTGTATCTGTCACATGGATCTCAAATAGCTTCATAGCAGACTGCTTAATTTATATTAATCTGCTCATACTTCTAAAAATATTAGCCTAGACATCATGAGAGTGTATAACTTAAAATATTATGACATTAGCCATCAAGAGTGGTGTTAAGAAATGTAATTTTTTTGTGTCTGATTGCATGCTGTAATATTTATTTCTGAAATTGTAGGTATTATCCCATGGTGGGTATCTCTCAGCTGGGTCTCACAATGCAATCATTGTGTTCAGTGCTTGCTTCCTGCCAGATCACAGCCGTGTGGACTATGATTATGTCATGGACAATCTTTTCCTGTAAGGAGTTTGCTATTATCTGTAATAATTATTAGGAGGGCCAGTTACACCTAGAGGGTATAACTATACTATACTTTCTCACTGCCTGTCACTTTCTTTGTTCCGGCGGCAAGAGATAGTTATATCCCGAACTAGAGTCAGTGGGGAACAAGGATCACCTCAGGGTTGAGGTGGGTTTTTTTTAAAAAAAAAAAAAGAAGAAGAAGTAGAACACAGAATACTTTTACTTTTGAAATGTGGATCCTCTCATACACAACTTCCCATAACAGGTACAAAAGTTTTCTTTACTGGCTGAAAGCCCACTGTCGACTGTCTCCACTCAGGTACTGCACGTGTTCTTGACCTAACTTCCAGATCCCTTGCTAGCATGGGAACCTCCACACATGACTTGCTAGCGTGGGATCTTTCACACGTGGTTTGCTGGCCAGTTCAAATTTTAATTCCAACAGTTACAGGGGTTCTGGACTGGTATAAGGGTTTAGGAACATGCAGTTAAACTTAATCATGCATAGCACATCATTATGATGGCAATAATGATGATAAAGTCTTAAATGAAACCGTTCGTTTTAATAATTATAATCAAATAAAACTGTTGTAATATGAGGAGAATTCTTGAATGAAATGATTTCACATGAAAACTAATTTTAAGAAACTTGATGTAAACATTAATATGTAGCACCCCTCTGAATCACAAAATCCTGGTTTAATTGCAATCAGTTAATTTTTTTTTCTTTCCAGAGTAGTCTTATAACTTCACAATATTTGTAGTTCTTTAAAATGGTTGTTAGTAGGGAATGCTGTCAGAAGTTGCATTTCTTTAATGTACAAAGACCCTACAGAGTTTGCTGAAGTTGGTACACATCACGTGGGACACTGTGTGTCTGTGCTATTCTAATTATATAATTCCCTGATTTAGTATTTTATTTGTTTGTTTTGCATGTTTTCCTTGTAATCTAATTTACTTAATTTAATTATCAGTACAAAAATACTGATATATTCAGTAGCAAGTTGCCTTTGTGTATTGATTTCCTCTATACTCGTGTAATTTTTTGATAATCTGTTTGTTATTACTTTGTTATATTTATTATTGTGTTATTCTTTTGAGCTGTATCTGTAATTGGTCTTCTGTTAATGCAGCACAATTGAGTTATTGTTATTTTAAAATACACACACAAAAAAACAGAAATGTCTTGTGAACAACAGTTAGAAAACAAACATCTTTTTTCACTTGATTTTTTTGTAAGATTTTGTATGAGAGAGTTTTGCATTCAGATGAGGTACCAAGCAGAGGGTATACACTTCAATATAAAAGTTTATATGAATAAAATTTTGTGATGCAAATCTTCATAAAGTGAGGACGGACAACTATGAAATTGTTCTAATGAGTCATAAGTCAGTGTAGTATTGTATAGTTCTGTTGTTATCATTTTGGACTGTCATTCTTGCAATCTTACCTTCTTCTATGTAATCTAAATTTAGTTTAGAATTTATGGTGAATCAGATAGCAAAGCTGCAGTTTCCGTATTTCCCACACCTTTCATTCCATCACTCCTTCATTGTTTACAGTAACAGTATCATTGTTGATAAATAGCCTTAACAGTTGTTATAGCTTTATTAAATAGCTAATCTCAGAATAATAAGAGAAAATAATCTTAATTGGGCTTCTTTCTTGTTTTATTTGTTTGTACATTTAATATCTGTAAGAAGATTTCTGTTATTTAGTTTTCTGTATATATTTCAGCTATGTGCTGACAACTTTGGATCAGTTGATTACGGAAGACTATGTTTTGATCTACCTCCATGGAGCAACTTCAAGGAGTTGCATGCCCACATTCTCATGGCTCAAACGCTGTTATCAGATGATTGACCGACGGCTTCGTAAGAATCTCAAAGGACTGTACTTGGTACATCCTACTTTCTGGCTGAAAACTATTGTTTTAATGACACGCCCTTTCATCAGGTAAGAGAACTGCAATAAGAATTAGGGATAAGATAATTGGGTACTTGTGGGTTATCGGGACACATCGCTTTAAAAATAGGTTAGGTTAGGGTTGTTGTTATCCGTTAGTTCGTTCAGTTATTTATTGCTGTCCACAAACATTAACCTAACTTAATCTAACCTATTTTTAAAATGATGTGTCCCAATAAGCCACAAGTACTGATAATTGTTTATTTGGTTCTGCTTTGCTGTTGCCAGAATTGATTGATTCTTAGTTTATTTATTGATGCTTTGTCAACTGGAAGGTGGTTGATGTCTGGGTTGTTGTACCATGTAGTATAGTATATTATATATACAATGATATATATATCATTGCTGTTATGTACACAGAAACATATGTAAGGTCTTCTTGTGAAAATGCTTGTTTTTGTTTGATTTTAACCAAAATATGAATGTGCTGACAAATTTTAGTAAAGGTCCCTGACATATTCATGAAAGTCTGCTCAGCAGGTCATGAGTTCTTGAATATAGATAGATGGATTGATAGACTAGCAGAGCTGTTTGGTACAGTTTTGTAACTCTGTTGTGAATGTGCGTAAAATTGCCATTTTTCCCCCTCTCCTGAGTTGGTTCTTATATTGGATTGTAATTAGTTAATGTAATATTGATGTTCCATAATATTTCGCTATATGTTGCAGTTTCTACTGATGTGTTTTTCTTTTTATTTTGTCAAGTTCCAAGTTCAGTCGTAAGCTGAATTTTGTGGATAGTTTAGCAGAGTTGGCAGATATCGTACCACTGGAGCAGGCTAGCATTCCTGACAGAGTGAAACAGTGAGTATTATATTTAACTTCTTCTTCTATGGCTCTCCGGTCCGTATTCGGTCCATGGCTTCCTCAATTCTCCTCTTCCGTTCAGTCCTGTTAGGTCCGTCTGTCCGAGGCTTTGATTGAGGGAACATTTCTGCCATACAGATAAAGTACTAGTATTTCATTTGAACCAGTCCTTTTACTTTCTTATATGCTTATATTTGATCAGATGTTTTTTTTTGTGTTGTAAAAAGTTACATGATTGAAAATAAGAATGTGGAGATTCATTATAAATTTATAATTTTTTGCTTGAATTTGGAATTGTTAGAAAAACTGCATTGCTCATGTCATTAGTTTCATCTGTTTGTGGCAGTTATTAACTGTGAAATATTAATAGCTGTGATCTTAGTATGCTGTTGTGTAATGTGTATAAGTTTTTGAGAAAACACTGAATATGCACTCAGTGATAATGTTCTGAAAAGTTCCTTGTATTGTGGTGCTGTGCTGTGTAAAACCAGTTCTTCAAAATTTTTGTTAGCAAAAGCTGTGCATCAATGAATTTATCTTTTTCGAAGAATAAATTTACTATGAGATTGAGGTTTTCATGATAATGAAGACTTGTATTGTGGTCTTCTGGATTATGAAGTGTAATATTTTGGAGAATGTATTGCCTCCATCATCACGGTTGAAAAACCGTATTCCCAATAAGTATACAGTATTTGCATTTTCATGTATGCTTGTTTCTTCTAGTGCCTATGCCAATCATTTCAAAGGGAAATATCACACCCTTGTACCCTGTTGTACATAGTATGCATTTTCTCTTAAGCATACTTTTTGAATAGTGTGCATTTTAATCTTGATTACATTAAAATTCTGCTGATGGAATTATGCTATACAGTTAATGTACTTATTTTTATGTTGTTTGAAATTATTTTCCAGTGTTGCCTGATTATTTTTGAACCAGTTTTAGCAAGTTATTTTATTGAAGATTGTGGTAAATTTACAGAAACAGCATTTAGCTGTATATACTTT